TAGCAGAGGTACTTGGCCCCGATGCTGCCTCCTTTCTCTCTTTATATCATCAGTTTGCAAGATTTATTTTGTATTCCACTCTATGTTCCACTCTGTATTCCACTATGGGAATTTCAGAACAGTGAACAATTAAAAGAAAATGGCAACATGTTTAAAAACACGTTCTATAAAAATGTATCACTATAACTATGGCTGCCTAGATCAAGAAGGCATCAGAAACAATACAGAAAGTCTGAAGGGATGCAGAATTCCAAAGAAATGGAACCACAGTGCTTGAAGCCCTTTTCTGGGTGAACCCCATAAGTCAATATATTCCCACCAGCAACATGCTCTCTGAGGACCTTGGGTTGTCCAGGCCAGCTCATTAAATGAGAAAGTGCTCTCTCTCCCTTTCTAAAGAGAGAGTCCAGAATATACAACCCATACTAAGTCCCCATTCCTAACTATTCTTGACATCCCATTCTTGCCATTCCCTTTTAAAGCATCGCAACATGAATCTGACATGGCATGCCTGCAGTGGGATTCATCCCCTTGTCGCCCACCAAATGTGGATACCAGTAAGATCAATCAACTGGCACGACAAAAGTCCCAGCTGGACTTGCAAGATGCTTGGCTCTCTTGAAAAGAGCCCTGAAGACTCCCAGAAAAACTGTGATGGCCACACAACTGTGCCCTTAATTGCACGGTCTCACGTAATAGTAATAATTTGTGGCATTTCTATTGCATGTCAGAGTGTGCAAAGCTGATCTTATCCACAGTCTTTAAAGCAACTTAATGAGATATGCCAGAACTTTCATCTTTTTAAGATCGGGAGAACCGAGCAGGGAAACATATACTTGTATATACATTATACAGTCAGCTGGCAAGTTCTAGATAGAGAAGAGATCTGAGCCAAGAACCAAGTGGCTGACCCCTTGGCTGTCTGATTTCTTTGTTTTTTCCAGGCCCATAGTCCTTCAATTTTCACTGGACTCCATCCCAGAGATAGGCAACCTGGAGTCATCTAAGCTTTGGATTAGAATTCCCACGGTTCTTAGCCACTTGCCGGGAAGGTGTTCCCAAGAGTTACAGTGCAAAAATTCGGTGGGTGGGGTCCAGGTTGCCCCAATATTAAAACAATAACGGTTAACCAATATATCAATTAAAAGGCCCCGTCCCATCACTGGATGTTCTTAATGCAAACGGTGGGAAATAAGTTTGTCTCATAGTAGAAACTGAAAAATACACTTAGCACAGTTTGGCTGTAGTCCACTCCTGCCCCATTTCTAAATATACTCTACTTTTTTGTGGGGGGAAGCTTTGGATGAGATCCAAAGAGCAACATCGGTTGGAAGAAGAGATTTCTTCAGACCTGGTTCCCACATGGAAATATTTGGGTGAAGGTACTTGCTTCTTTGTATCCCAATCCTAGATGTTTATTTTATTTTTATTTTTTGCAGTTTGTTTGGATTGTTGTAAACTGCCCAGAGAGTTTCAGCCATGGGGCAGTATAGAAATGAAATAAATTAATGCAGTTGTTTGTTTGTTTGTTTGTTTTTCCTGATCCTCACATTTAATAGAAATCTAAGAAAGAACCAATTCATGCTCTGCCTGATAAATCAATCTCCCATCCCTCCTGCCAAAGCATCCTGGCTGGTCTTTTCATTTTCTTTCAAGATCCACCAGGTAGCCCAGCTCATCTCGCCCTGAGCTGCCTAAGAATCAGGACCCTGCTTCGGCGGCCCCTGTCTCTCTCGTTCCTGGGGCAGAGGATGAAGGCAGGCACTCAGGACTAGGAAGCAGGCACAAGGGAACCCTTCGGAGAGGCAGGAGCTATTCAGCAGAGGAAAAGCTGAGCTGCCCTTTCCAGAGCAAAAGTTTCAGCAAAAGTCCCAGTGCTTGGCCATTGGTGGCCAAACTGCTCTGTGGTTTGAGAAACCTTGAGCTCATGCACTAACGGCCACCTCATGCCCTTAGAATAACATTGGAAAGCATATCAAAAGACATCCAGGGGCTATCATTTACAGAAAGAGGCAATTATATTACTGTGTCAAATTCCATACCTCTCTCTCTTTCTCTCTCTCACTCTCGGATCCTTCTCCTTGGAGATCAAATACAGTTCCTTAGCTTATCCACCTCGCTAGATGTTGGAACAGCTGGGCAAAAGCATCAGGGACTGCAATTTATGTCAATTTGAGAATGATGTAATCATACAGGAAACAAAGTGCTTGCTTCCTTGTTTGCAAAGCTTGATCCAAAGTAAATATTGTTTTAAATCCAAATAGGAATCAGGAAATATAATAAAATTCTGCATTTTCAACCTTCATTGTTAGCAATAGTATAGTTTTATAAGCTGCATCTGCAATTGATGGGTTAGGTGAGTCCATTTAAAAATCTTTTTATGAGCTGAAACACAACTCTGAATAATAGGAAATATGCTTTAAAAATAATGAACAGTTTCTAATGCAGGCGCTGGTGAAAACTGGAGGTGGCAACAGTAAAACCAGATGAGGCCTTCTCCCTTCGCCCATATTCAGAAGGGAATGCCACTTCTAACACATAGGCATGCTTCCCTTCAGAGCACCATTTTCCCTTCAGATGCACACTTGCAGAGAGTCAAATAATTGAAGCTAATATGATTAACCAACTAGGAATTTCTTAATTATGTAACAATTCCGTGATGCTATAAAGCTGTGACATCCAAGGTCATGTGAAGTTGAGACTTAGCCAGGATGTTGTTCGGTGACTGGGAGACACTGGTTCTGGTTCCTGCTCAGCCACGAAGCTTACTGGTGACTCAGGCCTGTCAGTTGAAGTACACTCTAGTAGGTTTGTTGCAGGGAAAAAAGGTGGAATCTAGTAAATAGGGAGATAAATATATAGAATTCAGAAATGCATGCTTCATTTTGGGCTCATTATTTTTTATTTGCCTCCAGTTTTACATTACATGTTCAGAGTTGGTCACCCTGTGCAGCATTTGACTGTCAAAACAATAATGTTGTTATTTCTGGAGAGCAAATGTCTAGCCCTTATGGCTTAAGCAGATGAGGGTGGTAGGATTTGATGGAGTTTTGGAAGCCTGCTGCTTTCACTGCGTGTGGGAGGGAGTGGATTCTATTCCAGTCCCAATTCAGGCTCAAGCTCTGGAGCCTTCCCAGACTCTGGGGGAAGCGTGGAGAGTAGCAGCACAGGGGAGGACTTCTCTGTGGTGGCCCCCTGTCTATGGAACAACCTCCCCACTGCAGCCCAGCTGGCCATTAAATTGCCATCTTTTAATGGCCAGGTTACGATGGCCTTCTTTTCTCCAGAACACTCAGGAAATCTTCCAAGCTCAAATAAACTGAATTTCCTTCTTTCAGTACCAGCCTAGGCGCTAGGTTAAGTGGGTCCCGCTGTAAATCGCTCTATAATGAAACCTAAACACATGTGACAGAAACAACGGTACATTCTTCCCTGGCTTCGGCTCCCTTTCCTTTCCTTCCTCTGTGCCTTTGCAGTATCAAAATTTAGCTGAGAAGCTCCTTGTGGCAGGGACCTGGCCTTTTTAAACTCTGCCAAGTGCCATGTGCAAACTGGGCATAGATCCTGGAAGTGGCGTTTGCAGTGGTCAGCAACTGGGTCAGCCGGTGACACTGCACCACAGGGGGCTAAAGAGCCAGAACTGCTTGCCGGGCTCCTTCCCCTTCATTGACTGTGGCCAGTGTCCTATTTGCTTTGGGGTTCCTGTTCGGCCCCGGGAATGCCAGGCAGGACCAACATCTGAGACACAAAGGGAATAAAGGCGCCACTATGCTCTCTGCCTTTTCTTTAGGGACTCCCTTGCTTACAAACTGCATGTGCTAACCCTAGCTGGCTTGTGGCTTTGCCATTCTTCTTCCCCTGAACCACAGCAGGGAAAACAGTGTTGCATTTAATAAAGATAAATAAAGGACGCCCATAGAACTCACCTCCCTCTCTTGAATCCTCTGCTCTGGTAACCATGGAAATGGCTGCTGCAATATATAACCTGTTGTGGGAGCTGCAAAGGAAGACTTGGGCACGTGTCAAGAGTTTTGCTGCCCTGCTCTACCTTAGCATCTAGCTCGGAATGTTTGCATTCCAAACAGGGCCTGCGGCTTCTGCAGCCTCTTGCCAAGGGAAGCAGCCTTGGGTTTCTTTTCAAAGCGCATTCCTGTTGTCCTGGGCAGACTCCATCTTTTAAAACTGGAATGACCAAGGGAGTAGCTATGCCAGCTTCTCTGTGGAGGGTCCCACTTTCCACCACCACATCTGCCCGAGGGAGTGAACAAGAATCTCATGATTCTATCCTTGCCCCCCCCCCACACACACACCCCATTTGACAAAACAGTTTTGGCTCTCTTTTCCAGGGGAGCCAGTTTCATGCACATTTCCCAGGTTAGGGTGTTTTGAAGACTTTTTCCTGATTGCAGGGGTGTGCCCAAAAGTGATGAAGCAGCATCATGCTGGGGCTTGGTGTCTGGAGCGTAGGAAACTGGCTTCTGACCCAGTCTGGCTGTTTGCCCATGTAGCCCAACGTTGGTCTCCCCTGACTGGCATTGGCTTTCCTGGGTGACCTGCAGCCACAGCCTTCCCAGTCCCCTGCTGCTGGATCCATTTTTAACCAGATGTGCTGAGAAACGAATTTGGGTCCTTGAGATGCAAAGCCACTGCTGTATCTCGGGGGCATTCAGGGCTTCTGCCTCAGTCCAGTCTTGAGGGCTCGGCAGGCCTTTGAGGTGACCCAATGGTAAGAGAATTGGGTTCTTGCTGCCCCAATCTTGCCTTATGCAGTTGGGACCTACGGGCACTGGGCTCTGCATGCAAAGACCCTTTTGAAAATGTGATGGTCCAACAGGCAGGGCCCATCTCTTTGAAGACCGCAGACAAATCCGCACCTGCAAAGTGTGTTGGGCAGGTGAGCACCAAATTAAAAGATACAGGTATCCAGTTAGCATATTTATGAACCCCTTGCTCATCGTTCCCTATGAAACCTTGTCGTTACTTTTAGGGTACTACGCCACAGTTGGAAGGAAGTGTGCCTCCAAGACAAAAGCCAACCTGCCTATCAGTTTCTAGAGCCTACCAAAAAGCCTCCCACAGCCATCAAGGTAGACTTCTCCAACCAGGCATTCTCCACGGTGTTGGACTGCAATTCCCATTGCTCTCCTCTAGAATGGGCATTGGTCTCACAAGAATTGCTGTCCAACAGACCTGGAAAGTGGCAGGTGAGACAACCCTGCATTAATGCCCACCCTTCCGTTTGCTTTCCGTAACTGTGGTAGTCAGTGCTACTCCTGAAATTCAAAGCCCATGGTTAAGTAAGGTGCTTTTCAGCCCCTCTGCTTGCAAGGTGGCACCTGGGTCTTGCCAGTGTCTCCCCACATCCTCTCTTGGGACAGAGTCCAGCTTAGTAAATTTAAACCATGGTTTTGGTATGCTTCTGAGAACTTGGTGAGAGTTAAAGAAACAAACCATGGTTAATGCTAAGCAGGCCATATGTTATAAACGTACGCATCTTTTAATAAATATTTGAAATTCTTCCATCATATTCTCTTACGTAAATTTAATCCTACATGGGTGTGTGTGTGTGTGTGTGTGCACGTGCAGCAGCCCATATGCCTCAAAATAAGAAGCAGTTAAGTTTTAGATATCTTTATTTTCTCCCCCTTTCCATTTTTGCATGTCATCTTTTATCAAGGACCAGCACTTTTTATATTACAAGGCTCTCCAACCAGCAAGTCAAGCAAGACAAATACATATATGGTACAAGCCTTTCATATTTTTCTTTCCAGATGTTCAATGACAAAACTATTCATACTCTATACATAAAATACTGACTCTTTCATATTTTTGTGTGAAGAAAATTAAAAATGTAAATACAAAATAAGCACATCTCATAAAAACAAGTATTTGATAGATTTAGGCTTCTTTTTTCTTAATTCAGTAAGACATAGTTAGGATAAGTAGCAGCTTGGTTATCAAGACATAATTTTGTGCAGTCTTGTAGTTTAGGAGGAGTTGCATTCCTTACAGTCATATTTCAGGATCTAAATAGACATTTCTTCTTAAATTTGAATCGTTGAGGAGCGCAAGCATTTATTTCCTCCAAACATTTCATTAATATGGAGCTGTGAAGCAATTTATTTACTTAAGCACACATCCATAGCTGGTTGCCAGGGCCGCTGTGGCAAGCATCGCGATGAGAAACAAGTAGCCCTTGCCAGTGTTTGCTTGGGAGTGTAATCGGGGGTTAATCTTGGTGGTAGATTCCTCTCTCTTTGCAGTAGCAGTTGTGCTTTGAGGTCTCTTGGAATAGTTTGTAGGTACCCCGCTGGTGATACTCAGGGTCATAGGAGTAGTTAGGGAACCCGCCAGACCGATTGTGCTTGACCCCACAGAGCCGGGATCTTGAATGTAGACTGCGTGCGTGGCTGCAGCAGCTTCATAAGAACTTAGCTTCTCCGTGCTCAGACCTTCTGGGTGCAGGACCAGCGGCCAGTCCGTACTTGTGAATGCGAGTCCTTGGCCGGCAGTCCCGCTGAGACGGCCGTCCTTCATGCGGAACGGTTGGTGGACAAGTTTGGTTTGGTCAGTCGTCATCGGAGACCCTGTTGTCTCTGCCGCCTTCATGGCTTTCACAAGGAGACGGTTCTCCGCTGCGGCAGCGGGGGCAGCTGGGAATGGCGTGGTGCTCTTCCAGGGTACGGTGGGCATGTAGGAGCAAGGCAGCCCGAGGACGGTCGTGCTGCTTTCTGCAATCCATTTATGCAGATAGGAGAGGGCCGGCACATTGTCTCTGCACGACCAGGGGTTGTTGTACAGTGTGATTAGCCGGAGTTGCGTAAGCTGGTCCAAAGCTTTGTCGGGGATGTAGGTGAACTTGTTGTTGTGCAGGTAAAGCGTGGAAAGGTGGCTGAGCCTCGCCAGTGTACCTGGTAGTATCTGTGTCAAGAAGTTGTTGGATAGATCCACTGTCTCTATGTTGTAAGGAATGTTGGTGGGGACAGTCCACAGCTTGTTGCTACTGAGGTTGAGGAACTTGAGGCTGCTCATGGTATTGTTGATCAGAACGACCCTTTCCACCATGTTCCTGGAGACATCGAGGACTTTAAGGTTCCACTGGTAAGCCGTGTCAAGCTTCTGAAGGATCTTGATGTTGTTGTGTGCAGCATAGATTTCCCACAGCGACCTGGGCAGATGAGATGGGAGGCTCCAGAGCCAATTGTGGGCAAGGTCCAGGGTCCTCAGATTGGCAAACCGAGTCAGCTGGTGGTTGAGGTCAACAAAGTGGTTATTAGACAGGTTCAAATGGGTGATGTTGTCCTGAAGTCCATATGGCAGCGTGGTCAGGTTTCTGCCGGAACAGTCCACATTTCTGTCATTTCCTGAGCATGTGCACACGGAAGGACAAATACCCTGGACAGCTGGCACAAAAACGAGGAGAGCAAGGATGCAGTCTGAGACCCAGTTCTTCATGGTTGCCTGGAAGCAAACATATTCACAGAAATACCCAGTTTTTATCTCATTACAAATGCTAGTCAGAAGATTGGTCTGGTGGTGGTGTTTGAGCGTGGATGCCCTGTGGATGGAGTTGCATTTCAAGAAAAGGACCGCACATACCTACATCACTGTGGCATAGCCCTCGTTGGTGCAAAAACACACTTATTTACAAAGGATCTCTTCATCCTACTGTCTTACTGCCTGGCAGAAAGAGGCTTATCTATTTCCATCGCCCTCCTCCTCTCTTCCCCCCCCCCTCGGTCCGCCTCCAGATCCCAATGGCAGCATTCTTCCTAAACTGCCCATCCATTCCAAACGTTATACAATGTCTGCTTTCTGCGTACAGCGATTTGGATCTTGTGTTTCTCTTTCGGGTATCCTTTATTTTATAAAGGATACAGAGCTGAAAGAGGAGGAGCAGAAATGATTGTCTATAGAGTCTGCCTTAACCCGCCTGCAGTAATAGAGCAGTTCTGTTGTCTTTGCTGTAAATAAGGCACATCAGAACAAACAGCATATTTCAGATAAAAATCCAGAAGAACGCAAGTCACGGAAATACCAGTGTTACCCCACGAATGGCTTCCCACCCCAGTCTTTGCCGTGATGTTACTGCAAAGCTTGGCAACATGTCCATTTTCAAAGCCAAATGTAAGGTTGGGATGAGATTCGAAAGCTGCCACTGCAATAGGCGACGAGTGCACGGAGCTGCCAAGATACCCTGCGATTTTCTTCTCCGCGTTCTCCTTTCTACTTTCCACATACACACGCTCGCCCGCAGGCACGTCCAGGACTGGGGTTGTGGCAGGCATGCACCCTGAAAGCAAATGAGGGGCGCAGAGAGCAAAAGGCACTTACCCCGCTCCGCGCTGCAAGATCAGTGCATCGTTTCCCTGAAAGACTGGAATGCAAAGGTCGGCTCGCTCTCCAGGGTAGCCACAGTTCGTCTGGGGGTTGTGCTTTGCCTCTTCAGCTGCATCGTACTGCCGTTTCCAGGGTCTCTGCAACCACCTGATCAGCGTTCCATCGGAGGACTGCAGAGCTGTCGTGTAGTTGCTGACTCAAATTTATTGCAAGGGGTGCATGCTCAACAAAACGGACAGTCTTTCCTCCTCCTCCTCCTCTATGCTTTTTTCCCCCTCTCTGGTAAATCCAAGTTCCCAAACTTCTCTCCGTATGTTTCTTCCCCCCGCCCTCCCCCTGGGACATGTCTCAATGCGTTCGGATGCAGCACACACAGTTTTCTCTGTGCAAACAGCATCCAGCCTCAGGTTTTTGGTATTTTTTTCTTAGTCATTGGTCCGCTTCAGCGTTGAGCTTTTTGCTTCCTTTCCCTGCCTTCCCGTTTAGCCACGTTTTGCCTTTCTGAAATCCTGCTCCTGAATTCCTGAAACATGCAGCTCCAGGGATGCGAAAGAGAATGTGTTGCAGGGGAGCCTGAAGACGCCCCAGTCCAGCCCCCGGCTCTGTGGCGAGTGGCTTGCCGCGTCCATGTTCATACCCACACGCCTGCACCGTCTCAGATGGACTCTCCATCACCCGAAGAGTCCTGTGCTTCAGGGTTAGAGAAGCACAGAGAGAGGTGAAGTAGCCATCCATCAAACCGTGTTGTCCCCAGCGCCCCCGTTGGCACTTGTGGTATCAAACAGCGAGAATTAGTGGTTGCTGCCCACGGAGAAACAAAGAGCTATTTATCAATATGAACTTTAGGCCTGTGACACCTCCTCTCTCCTTCACTTCAGACCCTTTTCTCCCCATCAGCCGCTTAACACAATGGCAACACTAATTTTAATGGTGCTTGGCTTTTTATTTGTCAGTGTTTTTGGCCTGTTTCTTTCGGCAGTGAAATGGGCTCTGCCTTTCATCATTAGTGTCGATCAGCCTTCCCAAGCCCTGGTGCTCACCAGGTTTGGGCCACAAAACGTGAAGAGCTGTAGGAAAGCCCTAGTGGACAGCCCTTTTGGGCTTTTGAGACCCAGCATCCCCCCCCCCCCCCCCCCGGCACGATGGGAAAGCAGCAGCTTCCCTCTGGCAATGTATTTCCCCTGACTATAAGGTTTCCACAGTAGAGAGGTGTTTAATGTTCTGCTCTTTCTACGAGACTGGACAGTTTCCTCTGGTGTGGTGTCACCCCTTCAAGCAGTTAACCCTTTGTCAGGTTTACTACAACGTCCGCACCTGGTCTTTTTTCCTTCACCCATGGCCTTCTCCGTGTTGCAGCACTAGTAAGCCTCTTTGGATTGGCATTCTGCCTCCAGAACTGCACTTTGGGGTGGCTGTCTGTTGCTTCGTAGGGGCCAGTGCTGCAGTCTGAAGCATGCTTTCTGGGGACGATGCCGCCAAAGTCTGTAGCCTTCCGAAAACATAGCATTAGGCGCCTGTGCTAAGAAAACCCAAGAGAATTCTGCCTTCCCCGGTTTCATGCCCTCCTGTTGTCATTGATGATGCCCCCATTGGCTATGGCCAGTGGTCAAGGATGATAGGCTTTGTAGTCCAAACGCTGGCATTTTGTTTTCTTTCCCTGTTGCCCTGAATTCCCACAAGTCCACAACTAAGGTTGTAATTTTAGTAGCTCCATCCTGCAGATCTTGCGAGGATACGTCCTTTCCATCTCCTTGGCTGCCCCCTTTCATTGCAGCTTGTGCAGGAGACCTTTCCAATGGATTGGGTCTTCGTATTTTTAAAACTCAGTTTTAGAAACATAGAAACAGAGCAAGTCAGAAGGGGTCTCCCGGGCCATCTAGTCTGACCTCCGGCACCAGCCGGCTCCGCTCACGACATGCCCACCATGTGCATGTCCAGCCTATCCTTGAGCACCCTCACCGATGGGGCCTCAACCACCTCCCGTGGAAGCCCATTCCACACCCTTGGGGTCCTGACTGTCAGGAAGTGCTTCCTGGCATCTGAATTGAACCTTGGTTCCCTGAGCTTTGCTCCGTTGGAGCACATCCAACAGAGCAAAGGAACATTTGCTATTGCTGTTTATGAGGAACATTTGCTGTTGCTGATTCTCTCAAAGCGTGTGGCCCCACTTTTTCTCCTATTGAGAGAATCGGCGGGTGGCACCACATCACAGTTAAGGTGGGGGCATGCAGGTCCCTGTGTTTCCAAAATCCGTCCTTCTACAAATTAGAAGAGCAGCCCAGGGGGATCAAATGCTGCTCCCTCTTTGGTGGTCATTCTGCATGCAGAACACGAATCACAGAAGCAAGTATTGAGAAATGCATGCCTGAAACGCAACAGAGCTCTTCAGTAGACCCAGCCTGACACCCAGGTTAGGCCCTTCTGATTCATCAGCTTCCAGCAGTCCTTGATTCTAAAGTAGCCCCCTGTCCCATCCTGCACTGGGGTGTTGAAACTCAGTTTTTCTGTGGAGACCCTCTCGGGGTCATCCCTCGACCTGTTCAGGATTGACCTTGTGGCATTGCCACACCGGAGAGCCAGTGCAAAGTGGTGGGGTGGGAATGAGTTGGTTGAATGTAGGGAAAACGGAGACGCCGGGAGCCCTTGGCAGAAGGGCTTCCCTCCCCGAGAAGGACCCTGAGCTGCAGTGAGCTGGCTGCAGGGCATTGCAGGAAATGCAAAATGCTGGCTGGCTGACGGCTTCATCTCCCACCAGGGCATGAACAGAGGAGGGGCCAATGCGGATTCTTGGCAGCTCCCAGAGGGAGCCAAGATATGGGGATGTTGCTTATGAGAGCAGACAGAGGATGGGTGAGATCCTCTTTTCCCACAGGACTCGATTTCTTCAGCCAAACAGCCTTTTTACATGGAAGAATGTTCAAAATAATACCCACACCTGGCACCACCCGCTGTACCAGCTTATTATTGCTGCATGCATAGGCCAGGCCTGAGACAAATACCTTTGAGAGGAGGAGGGAGAAGATGTGCTTCATTTTTAAAATTGGAACCGTGCCCCATGCTGAGGCTAAAGAAGGGTTCTGAAAAGTTGGAGACTACTGATTTAGAGTTAAGGGTGGCAGCCATTTCTGAGCTGGTGCCATAATTGGAGTAGCCACTTCCTTCGGTGTGGTTTTGCCTCTTCGGGTGACGATCCAAGCTGTGCAGGAGTTGGCAGCCGGCACTGTAAAGGGTGCAGATTCCCACACTGATCAAGGCCGGCACAGGGAGTAAGATCACCTTGGATGCACTGTGGTCCACCTCCCGGGGGGCATCTGTGGCACACTTCCCATAGGCTGCCTGTGATTGCAGCCCTTCTCCCACTCCCTCTCCCTCTGTACTGCAGCATCCCTACCAGCCCCGTCAAGGCCATAAAAATGCGAAACAATACGAAGCATCTTGCTGAAGGCATCGGCTCACCTGTGAACTGCTTCTGCTCCGGCCACAAAACGTTTTATGGGTCTTCAAAGGCATATCTCATCTGCTGAGCCCCCTCAAAACGTGCCCATCGTTCTAAATTAAGACAACTCAATACAACACTTTAATTTTTAACTCAATTTTTAGACAGGGCTGTGAATATATATTTTTTTTCCTGCTAACTTCTTCATCTTTAATCTGAAGACTGAAGAAGCTTACAGAAGTGGAGCTGAGCTTTTAACAATCTCACTGTTAATGAGGTTCTATCTGGTTTGTTTTAAGGGAGCGGGGAGAGCGAGAGACTGTCTGTGTGTGTGTGTTTGTGTGTGTTTGAAGAGACTTTTCTGCTTGGTTAAGTTAGCAGCCCCCATATATTCCAGTATATTCCATCTTACTTGTACAGCCAAGAGGTTTTTACTCTTTTTGGCCGCTGCCAGCTCTGCATTGCTGAGATCCACTCTGGCATATAGAGTTGCATTAAAACAGTTAATGAGTCTCTAGTTGCAGTTGCAGATTCTGTCTTTCGTTCCCTCTGGAGAAATGACTGATGGATGGAGAGGAGTCATTTCCCAGGCGAAAGTGAGGGCGCACAGTCTGTCTAGGCTGGGAGTGCCATCTCTGGCACCATCTATTTCCAAAAAAAGAGGTATCTGTGGCGAGAGGTTTGCAGAAAGTGAGAATGCCAACCTCCACTCCATTTCTGGAAAAGCCTCCGAACAAAGGCCGTGGCCAGTTGATAATAGACCTCTCGGACCTTTGCATGTTCTTTCCACCGTTTTGCACATTCTTGCACGACTGAGTGGATGTTCACGTGGATGCTTGAACTTTGTCTGGTGGGCTGTTGGTTGGTCAATGCAGGAACTGCTTTGCCCGTATCACAATAGCAGCACTGTGGGATCTCCCACTGTTGTTAGAAGACCAGGATCGATAGGGTTCACTCTGAGCAACAAGGGAAACAGTTTTGAGGGAGAATGTCAGGAATGAAGATTGGGAAAATATTTGGACAAAGAGGATATTGAAGTGTATGTCAGTTAGAATAAAGGAAAACTTCCATGAATTGTATGGAAGTGGTCCCTAACTCCAGCGAACTTGAACTGAATAGATATTTCAAATTATGTTGGAGTTGTGGTCGTGAAATGGGTACATATTTTCCCATGTGGTGGGAATGTGAATATATAATAACGTTTTGGAAAGGGTTGGTTAAAGAGAGCGGTAAAATATTGCATTTAAATTTTGAAATATGCCCTGGGATCACATTGTTTTCTATATTGGATAAGAAACAGTGGAGTTGGGTTAATAAAGAACAACAAATTTAATAACTGCTGAAAGATTAAACATAGCTAAGGATTGAAAGGTAAAATATGATTACCGGTTGTGTGATTGGCACAGAGAGGTTTGGAGAAGAGGTATTAATGATAATTTAACTTGTGATGTTAAAGTGAGAAAAGGACATACATAAGAAAAATAATCATTAATGTGATTTGGGCACATTTATTGAGTATGTTTTTTTTAAAAAGGAAAGGAGTTGAACCATCAAAAGAATATTTGCAGTTTTGGAAGGGAGAAATGTTCTGAGTGAGTGAGTTTGAGTGAGTTTTCTCTATGTAACATGTGTCCTATGGGCCCAGTAGTGGGGGGCACAGTATTTTTATGAATTATTTTAATTCTATGTTTTTATTTTAGTTGTAAGTTTTGTGGGGTTTTATTTTAGAATGAAAACTAATAAATTAAAAAAAAAATCTTCCCACTGACTTCCCACTAGTGAAACAAAAGTCAAGGCAAACTCTTCCACCTTCTGGAGATCGAATGGGCCAATCCATTTAAGCTGCTTCAGTGAGTTACTCTTACGACCTTGATATGTTTAGGTTTTTGTCTCACCGAAGCACCAGAGAATACTCTAGAGTGCTTGAGGAGAAAAATAAGCCGAACAGACCAGTACAGTTGGATGGAGAAATGGAACGGATTACCGTAAAGAAGGGCACGGCTGGCTGATGGAACAGAGCAGGCGTACTCAGTGCTGCGCCGTTCTGTTGCAGAGCCCTCTGCGTAAATTAATCATATAGTTGGCGATCGGACGATGCTGGGAGTTCTTCTAGGGCTGAGGCTCCAGGAACCAGCTAGGTGAAGGTGCTCACAGGCCTGCTTCAGCCACACGCAGAGTGGTGAGCCTGTCACACCTTCTCTCTCTCCAGAGTAACCTCCCTCTCTGTGGCTTGTGTCTGTTATCGATGCCAGGGAGGGACCGGGGCGGCTGACCACAGGGAGCAGGGGCATAAAAGAAGCTCCTCTTGCATTTGCTTTTTTTGCACTTAGCCTCGTACATGTAGGATGCTGTGGAGGGTTGGGCATGTGACTCTTGGCCCGGCCATTTCTGTTTTGGCTTTCCCAATAGCAGGGAAAGTGGGAAGCATTTTCGCTCGTATGTTGTACATAAGAGATGTAAAGGCTTGGGAATAAACTAGAAAAATTTCCAGGAAGACCTGCCAGTGGCGGGGGGTGGAGGCAGATGGGGGATGAAAATCAGGAAAGTTGAATAACTTTACAGTGCGACATACATTCTTTTAGAATGAGGAATACCATATTTAAGACAAAGCGTTAATGTATTGCTACCCAGCCTTTCCCCCACTAATGTCTAAAAACTGTGTAATGGGGGGCGGTATTTAATGTGAGAACCAGGTTAGTAACTGGGACCAGGAAGCCTGAACATGTAACACCAATTCTGCTGACTTGTCGTGGCGCAGTTGTGCTTCCAAGCCCTATTCCAGGTGCTGGCTTTAACCTTTAAAGCCTTATATGTTTTGGGACTGCAGTGCCTTTCCTAACATATATTTGGCCAGATGTCCCACGCAGCATCCAAGATAGTCATCTGAGTGCTACGTACATGGAAAGTTTGATTGATGGCACCAAAGAACAGGACCTCCACAGTGGTAGCCCCTGATTATGGAATTATCTTCCCACTGAGGCCCACCTGAAACCCTCTCTGTTATTTTTCATTGCCCAGATAAGGGTGCCTCTGTGCCAGGGCAATTTAACCCAAACCCGAATATTTTATTCTGACAACAATTACAAATTCACTGCATTTACTTTTTGCAGTTTTAAAATTTAATCATAGTTCTGTGGGCAAACCAAGTTATAAATATAATAGCTTTTACATTCTTAAAACAACCTTTCACAACCTTTCCACAGGTTTTGGCAAGCGACTCCTAGCATTCCTGTCCTTCGGCTGTGCTGCCTGGGGGCCGATGGGGAACTGAAGTTCAAATCTTTTGAAGGGCACCACATTGAGGAAGGCTATCGTAAAGCAACATAGTGATATTAGATCTGCCAAGTAGTAAAAACGAGCATTTCCCCTCCAAACCTCTGATTTTTCAGAAACTCCCAGCAAAACAGTTTGTTGTGAAACAGAAGTTTCTGGAAAGGTTGCCCTTCTGGTTGTGTGTTTGGCAGCCAAACAGTCATGACAGAAAGACCATGTTCCCATTTTACAGACTCGGCAGCTGGGGTCTCAAGAGCTAAGAGAGGGATGTGGAACATGTGACCCTCCGGAAGGCATGGGGCTGACCAAAGTTGTGGGCGCTTTTAGGGGTCCCCGCATCTGTCCAATGACATGTGAGAAGGAACATCTCAGCCAGAGATGCCACGCGCAAGGCTGGTTGGAAAAGGTCATAGCCGATGTTTCCTCCAGCGCCCTCCTGTAGCCTGAATTCACCTGGCCAGGTAGATAACATAGATATCGGTGATTCATGATCAGGTTCCCTGTCTGCCAGGAAACACCACTGGCTGTCAATGATGGGAGCTGAAATCCAACATGTCTGGAAGGTACTGCATAGAGGAAGGCTGGCGGAATCTCTCTCCGAGCTTAGCAGAATATTGTAATTCTTGAGCCCCTTGGAAAGCGGGTGGGTAGAGAAATCTAACTGCGGAGTCTTTTGTGACAGGTGAGCCCATGCTGAGGTCCGGTACCTTGTCATGTCTGCTTGGATTACTCATTCGAAGTAATCACTGTGCTTCACTGTGGTCATACCTATATATTAACAGAAAGACCCAGGAAGCAGAGATCACTGTGGCCTTTTTGGTATGGAAGAGTGCCTAGTCTAGCATCAGAATCCGGAGAAAAAAGCTCACCAGGTTTTGGGGTGCAGCCCATGCTTTGCAGCAGAGCTTTGCATGAGGCGGTGGCTGTCGTAGAGAGGGAATCTCTCCTGCATGCATGAGCCGCTCTCCTCGAGAAACGGCAGCTGTTTGTTCCCCTGGCTGAAGCAAGGCTTGGATTTCTTTGACTTGCAGTGCTTTGTGGCAGCTGCTTTCTCCCCACAAATAGGGGAAGGCTGTGAGGCCTTGTAGGATGTGGCCCCCGGGAGACGGGGTCAGGGAAATGGGGTCAGGGAAAAGAGTGCACAGGTCTGAACTTAGCAAGCAAGGCTGGAGAATGTGTGACTCTCAGAAGCTGTTGATTGCATCATCCTGTGCGATTGGCTATGCTGGCTAGGGTTGATGGGAATTGCAGTCCAATAACTTCTGGAGGGCTGCACCTTCCACACCACTTTCCAAAGGTTAAGTCTAGGTTCAAATGAAATGGGCTTCAGCGTGTTGTAATACAGAGAAAAAAATAGAGAGCTGTGCTGAGCAAAAGCATTGTACCATGTGCTTATCCTGGTAGTAGAATCAGCTCTTAACACAGAATTTATTAAGGAAACTCACAGTTGCCCCGAATATAAAGGCGTTTCCTTGTCACAAATAGGTGTAACTCTTCGAAGAATAATACTCGTTATTCAATTATTTTTGTAATCAGATGAGAACGTGGCATGCCGATGGTCCAGAAAAGAAGTCCAGTTTGTGTTTTTGAAATAGTTCAGGTGTGTTGAATGAGCCATAATCAGGTTCAGATCTGTTCTGATTCCTAAAATCACAATCCTCCCTTAACGACTCAGTGCAATTCCCATCCCAGGCTAGTAGTTCCATGTCGATTTTGATTCCATTCTCCTGTTCCTTGTACTTCGCAGGTAATTCCCTCCCGGTGTTCCCCTTCACCCAGCAGAAGCTGCAAGGTGCTACTTCAGATTGCATAACAATCGCAAAGGCACAAATTAGCAACGCCTTCATAGCACAATATACTTTATTTGTAGAGTACATTTAAAAGGCACCCCTCCTAGAAAGACCAAGGTAACCTAAGAGGTTATTAATGTATGTGAGAGGGACAGCAAAATGAGAGATTTGCACCTTCAGCCCCAACCCCTCACGAAATAAAATCTGTACAAATCCTTTCAGTTTGGAGCTATGGGAGTTGGAGTTTAGCGCATCTGGAGGGAGCCAGGATGAGGAAGTCTGGCCCAAGCATAAGCCGCGTAGCTTCATTTAACTTTCTTCTTGAAAACCAAAAAAAGGCACAACAAATACGTGTTAGTTTTATGGTTCTGAATTCAGGATATATAGCCTTGAAAGGGTTAGGGTTACAGTTAGGGTTAGAGTTAGCCACCTTGAGTCCCATTTTGGGAAGAAGGCCAGATATACATGCAGTGGACAGCAACAAAGTCACCCCCATTTTTCAGAGGAACAGAATTATGTTCCGTTTCAACAAAGCTTTCCGCAAAGTGCCCCATGACGTTCTGATCAGCAAGCTGGCTGGAAGTGGTCTTGATGGAAGAACCATCAGGCGGACCCATAGGTTCAGTTCGCAATGGCCAGCTCACACTCCTCTTCTCAGAATGGGGAGGGGTCACGAGTGGGCCACCACAGGGCTCAGTCCTGGTCCCAGGACTCTGCGCCATTTTTTATTAATGACTTGGACAAAGAGGTGCAGGGATCGGTGATCAGATTTGCAGATTACATCAAACGGGGCAGGACAGCTAATACCCTGGGAAGGGAGAAAGAAGGTTCAAGACGGGAGCACGGGGCTGAAAGCAGCGGAATGAGCTCCAGCAGGGGCAAATGCCACGTTCTGCACTTTGGGACAGGGAACCAAATGCAGTGTCACAAGACGGGAGACTCTTGGCTCAATACTGCAAGTGAGAAGCATCTTGGAATCCTGGGAAGTCACAGGTTGGATATGAATCAATAATGTGACGTGGCTGCAAAACCCGCAAATGCTATATCGGGCTGCATTAATAGAAATATACCTTGCAAATCACGTGTCCGGGAAGAGGCGATGCCTTCCTTCAGCAGGGAAAAGGCGAAGAAGCACAAAGGTTGTGTGATTAGCAGGGCCTGGGTGTGTTGTGGTTGTGAATCTTTGCATAGCAGTTGCTGAGGAACAAAAAGCAGGAGTGAGCCTCTCCCTTTACACCTTATGCCCACGGTCTTCTTGTCAGGGCCTGCCCAATTCATGTTGGAACCGTGAGACGCTGGACGAGATGGACTTCCGGTCTTGTATTCAGTCTTGGAGGAGGCAACAGGGTTCCTCTTTGCTCACCAAACCCCAAACCAAACCTGCGTTCTCAGGTTATTGGCCTCTCCACTAGATTCATTTGTTTCCATAAAGGGCCCCTTTTTATGGAGATGCAGAATTAGTCCACACTCAGTCCGTTTAAATGGGTTGCATAAGGTCTTCCGGTGGCGGAGGGAGTTGCAGTGGATTCTGGTGGGACAAATCCAGGGAAGGGGCACACTGGATTTCCGTGGCTGATTCAGGTGAGAGGGACTCGGTGTGATTCAGACTGGGATCCCCGTTAAGTTCCCCGGCAAGCCAGGTGGGCGGAGGAGGTGGCTCAGGTGGATCCAGGTCATCAGACTGAAGCGGAACATGGACCAAGCCACTTAACCCCTCAGAGGCAGCCACTTGCGTGCTGGTCGAAGACACAGAGTTATCAGTTGTTGCAGGGTTGCTTCCTTTCTCCGTTCCTTCAGCACTGGGTTTAGGTGTGGTATCCAGATTCTCTCCTGATTCAGCTAATTGCCCTTCTGCATTTTCCATGAGCAGGGTATCCCTGTGAAATTTCCAGGGCAGAAGAGAGAGAACAGACATGCGCTTTGCGCCAGGTACAGCGTCTTTCTCTGCACTAACATCTGGGATGTCTCCATCCGCAAACGGGGAGCGGCCGGCCCAGTGGGGAAGGGGTGCAGCTGCCTTTTTCCACCGCCTCCACAGAAAGATGCCCACGATTACTATGATCATGAAGATCAGGATAATCCCAATTAGTACCGCAACTATTACGTGTGCATCAAAAGATTCGGGTTCTTCGCCTGCGGGAAGCCTGGGCTTGGTGGTTGGTGTTTGCCGTCCATTTTTCGTAGGGTTTTCTGGTTGGCTCGTCTGATGGAAACGAGCAGAGGAGCTGAATACTGCTGTAATTGGGACTGGAGATTCAGTTGGAGAAGTAGCATTTGCAGACCCCGTGGACTTAGCAGAAGCAAAGCTCCCCCTCAGTTGTCCACAGAAGAGAATTAGGATGATGGGGTGGGTGTCCATTGCTTTTGCTTTAATGCCAGTGAACTCTCCTGCGGCACCAAAAGAAGAAAAGCAGTTAGTTCTCCAAGTGCCACATTTTGCTCTGTAAAAGTGTGGTAGCAAAAATAAAACGTTTTTTCTTGTGACTAATGTACTGTTAGGTTTCTGTGGTGGTAGCCAGATGGAGAATTGTATCCTAGCTTTATTTACGAAAAGGTTTCTAAACTGCCTTTCAGGCATAAGATGATTTCTTTCTTGAGTGCTCCCTCTGTCTCCCTGGGAGTGTGAAAGGCTGCAAAGGTGGCCTCAGAAGACCCCACTATTTATCTTTGTACACCAGTCTCTCTTCAGAGCATGAAAAGAGGCAAGCCCAGAACACTGATCCATACAGGAGCCGAACAGGCACCCTCTGTCTCTCTGCACTGAGGAAGACACAACCATTCCCAACCAACCAGCGCTGGAATGTGGAGGAACTGCTATTCCCATAGCAGAGCCCAACCGAAAGGCAGTAAAATTACAGAGATGAGTCATGCAGAGATGCAGCAGGAAACGTCCTTTCAGGGAAGGGCTTAGGAGCCTGTTGGGCTTAGGAGCTTTGCCTTGGCGCTCACATGCACTCACTCTCTTTCTTTCTCAATCTGTGCATGCACATGTGATTGAATTAAGTTTAGGAAATATTAGAAGTAAGGCAGCCTTCCCCAGCCTGGTAATCTTCCGATGTTTCAGTCTTCCAACTCCCATCTTCCCCAGCCAGCATGCCCAATCACCATGAATGATGAGCCTGTCCAGATGATAGGCTGGACATGCACATGGTGGGCATGTCGTGAGCGGAGCCGGGGGTCAGACTAGATGGCCCAGGAGACCCCTTCTGACTTGCTCTGTTTCTGTGTTTCTAATGCTGGGAGATCAAAGCCTAAAATGCCAGGAGAGCACCGGGTACCAGATTGGGGAAGGGGGAGGGGAGGAGGACTGGTTTTCTACCCCTAGTTCCTAAAAGTGCTGCCTACACTTATTCTGTAATTTCTCAAAGCATTGCATTGCCCAGCACGGCAGAGAGCGGAAGGGTGACAAATGCAGGAAACACCATGAAATGATAACATGGCGGCAGCCACAACAAGTCCCGCCTGAACACGCATTTTTAAGATAAAAGGTCTGTAAAGGCTGGTGCAACACTTTAAGAAATGCGTCCACCTGGTGCCAGAAAACAAAGGGTATTTGAGAGACGTCGCTGGAAAGCTTGCATTCCTACATGCCACACTCCTTCTGCTGGAGTGGTGAAATTAAAATGTCCCCTGGACTGAAGCTGGAGCACCAAGCCCAGCTCCTTTTCAGGGAGGCAGGGAGAAGGCTGGGGGAGCCCTGCTGGAGGGTTGTAGCCCGTCAGCAGCCTAAGAATGCCCTGATGGCAGTCCTGGGAAAGTGGAACTGCACCATGGAGTCCTATTTTAATCACGGGCTGTCCTTAACAGAATGGCCTGGGTAAGGGAATAACATTTTTAAAGTGTCCACCCACCCCTGTAGCTTCAGAGATGGAACTGGAATTCTAAAAATACAATCTAGTTCTTTTGCTCTAAATACCACTTGCAAAGCCCACTCTTTTTTTTGGAGCGCGGCAGAGAATATGCACATGAAATCCATTCACGACTTTGTGGCAGTTCAAAATAGTCAAATCCGTCAGTCACTTTTAACACTTTCCGTTCCAAACAAAGCAAACCATGAGAAGTCCCATTAAATTTAGAAGGACTTGTTTCTGTGTGAACAGATATATAGTTCACAGGGCAGATGTGTTTTATTACCCTGCATTTATCCCATGCCTTTCTTCTTGCAAAAAATCCAAAGCAGTTTACAAAGCTCCCCTCTTCCTCCATTTCATTCTCATAACAACAACCCCACGAGGTAGGTTAGGCTGAGAGTTAGCAACCCAGTAAATTTTCATGGCTGGGCGAGGACTGGAGCCCAGCTCTCTTGAGTCCCAGTCCTGTACTCTAACCACTGCACCTAACTGTCTCTTATTGTATTACCCTTATATGCAAAAGTTAAATTCCAAAGTTTTACTAAAGGTACATCAAAGGAGGACAACCCCAAGTAGGAAAATGAGAATGGAATGTATGCATTTGCTGCTGTATCTGAGAAGTAGGCTAAATTCCACGGGGAGGTGGTTGTTTTCGGAAATCACTGGGCTTCTTCCAGGGGTTAGAAACCTGAGGCCTCACCATCTTGGTGTTCTCATTTACTCTTCAAAAAGAGTGCCCTCTTTAATCAAATTTATTCCCCACCCCACCCTGAGCACAGGAAGTAAGCAGTTGTTCTAATTTGGATTCTGGTGATAGTAACCCACCAAGGAAAAGCCCAGGTCACAAGCATCGAGCTCTTAATCAAGCTTCAGCAAGAGATTTGGAGAGAACCCCCACCTTAGTTTTAATATAATTTGCATGTGGTCAGAAGTGCAAGGCTCATTGAGACATTCTAAAGAATAAAATACACAGTATGACGAACAAGGCTGTTCCCTTTCAGCTTTACCTGTGAGCTAATACTTGCTTTTTAAATTTATTTTTTAGCTAAAGGAAGGGTAATTAAGTCTGGCTTACCTGTTCATTATTGTCTCCTGCACTAACCGGCTGCTTGTTTTTAAGCTCACATTTTAATGTTAACAAGTGCAGGGAAGTGCGAATGCAGCAACTGGTTTTAAATGGTTGATGTTTCTCGTGTTGCAAAAGGATGCTATTTTGACATAAAGAGGAAGTTTATCAACACTTAGTGCAGGAAACACCAAAAACTGAGAAGTGATTAAGAATGTGAATGTCTTTGGCCAGACCAAGGCTTTAGCGAGGGCATCAGTCTTTCAGAAGCGCTTTCAATTCCTGTCTAACCAAATGGAAGCAGATGGGAATCAGGGTGTGTGTGTGTGTGTTTTACCTCTGTCTTGGTGAAGAGAGAACATGATTAATCAAAGCTTATTACACAGGATAACTATTATATTAACGTAGTTGCATATGCTTCTATTAGTTTTTCTGATGGAAGACAAGCCATGTAATTGTTTAGAGAGGCTTAACGGCAAAGTAATTGTAGATTTAAAACTGTCTTGCCAGTCGGTCCCTTCTCTACCATTAAAAAATTCAGAGCAGCTTGTGAGGCTGTACACTTCCCTTTTGCACGTGAATGCCCTACAGCCCTTCCCACAGTTATTTTAAAAGTTATGTCTTCACCAACGTGGTTTGGACAACCAGGACATGGTTGCACATAGTCCCTTTCTGCCTCCAAGCAGTGTGGCAAGCCCGGAAGCCACAGAAAACCGTGGAGAGTTTCCATTACAAGGCAAGTTTACTCAATGGCTTCCAAACAAGCCAGGATATAAAGTTGTCTTTGAATCCTGGCTTATTGGAAGCCATTAACCATAGCGCCTAGCTTGGATGTAGGTGTGGTTTCCAGGGTTGGTTGTTTGATCATGTCAAGGGAGCAGTGAGAAGGGAGCAAAGGGATTCCGTGCTGGAGTATGAAGCTCATGAATTGCCTTGTTTACTAAGCCAGGATTTGATTGTCCAGATATAGCGATTGACCTTAACTATGCTTTATGCTGTCTGGATTCCCACTTAATTTGGGCTGTCAGGCCAATGTTAGTGCTTGGTCCACTTGGGGGAACCCACTGGCGCAACAGGGGGAGTGTCAGACTCGGGCAATCCAGGTTTGTTTGTTTATCTGTTGCATTTACATCCCACTTTTCTCCCATTGTGGAAGTCAAGTCAGCAACTGAGGAAACTAGGAACATGTGGCCATGTCTTCATAGAATCGTGGAATGATAGACTTGGAAGGGCCATCAGGTCTAATTCTTGCGAAGTGCAGGGCACCAAGTTCAACCCTCCCTCTCAGAGGACTGTCCGGTTGCATCTTGAATGCCTCCAGTGTGAGAGAGCCCACCACTTCCCCAGAGCACTGCTTCCATTCTTATGCCGCTCTAACAGTCAAGAAATGTTTCCTGATATCTAGCTGGAATCCGGCTTCCTGTAACTTGAGCTCATTATCCCAAGTCCTGCACTCGGGGATAACCAAAAGGAGATCCTTGCCTTCCTCTTTGTCACAGCCTTTCAAGTACTTGTAGAGAGTTGTTGCCCTCCTGAACCCTTTCCAGCTCGTCTGCATCTTTCTTGAAGTGTGTTTCCCAGAACCGCACACAGTACTCCAAAGGAGGCCTAACCAGTGCTTAGCAGGGAGGAACGAGGACTTCGTGTGAGTTGGAAGTGATGCATCTATTAATACAGCCCAAAATAGCATTTGCCCTTTTTGCAGCCACGCCACATTGGTGACTCATACTTAGCTTGTGATCTGCAACAGTTCCAAGATCCTTCTTAGTTACAGTATTGTTGAGCCAAGTATTATTCTGAGAGTTCTTCTGCCAGCTTCTTTATGACTCTAGGATGGAGTTCAACAGACACTGGCTATATCAACGCAATTAGATGATCCTTGACCATTTGCCTATCAATCCTGAGCTTCCCTCCTCCTCCTCCTCCAGCTTGTCCTTCCCTTTGTCAGGAAGGCCATAGATCTTCTTTTGGGAGAAGACTGAGCCAAATAGGTACTAGCCCTTCTGCTTTTCTTTGTCATCTGTTATCATTTTGCCCCCCTCACCGAGTAGCTGAACCCCCATGTCTTTCCTCTGTCTTTTACTCTGAACATATCAGAAGAAGGCTTTTTGTGGCTTTCAGCATCCTCCCTCGCTAGCCTCAATTTATTCATCGTTTTAGCCTTCCTGGCGCCATCCCTGTAATTCCGTGCTACCTGTCTGTGTTCTTCCTTTGTAGCCTGGCCTTTCCTCCACTTCCTGTACATGCCATTCCTTCACGACACTTGTCCCTCTTTTCCGGGATCACAGGAATGGCAAAAAGCAGCCACTACATGAAGCCATCCTGGCAGTCCTTCCTTCTGGGGACCACTGCGGACAGAGTTACGTAACAGATAGGGCAGCCTTCTCCAGCTGTGTGGGGTGACAACACCCAGCGTGATCCATGGCTGACTGAGTCATGCTGGAAGTCGTAATCTTGCGCAGCTGGAGGGCACCAGGTTGGGGAAGGCTGATACAGGGCTATAGCTAATGTTTGTCTTCCTCGGAACAGACCAACAGGAACCAAGAAGACTAAAGTGACTAAAGAAGACATCGGTTTCATCCCGTTGCTCGGTTTGTTACGCCTGTGACAGCTTCTTATTCTCATGGAGAGCCGAGTTGTTACGTGGGCCTGGCTTTTTCCTCCCATGTTCTTGGCTGCTAAATTGCATTAAGGGAGTACTGAAAGTCCACATTAGACATTTGCCTGGCTGTGTTTCCATATGAGCCGTTTCTGTAGTAGCTGATGGCATCCAAAGTAACTGCGAAAGGAAGTACAAGGTCCCTTTGCGGTCGCAAGTGGGTGTTGCGTAGTTGCGCATCCTTCCTCCTCCTCCTCCTCGAGCTAAGTTACTGTTTTGCTTCCAAGGAGATGTTGCTTTTCTGCTTTCGGCTTTGCTTCCTGCCAGAGGAGCTGCTGATCTTGTGGAAGACGGCGTGACCAGAGATGCAGCATCTTCAGCCCAATCAGGGTCCCATTTGGACCTCCCGGGGTTCCTGCTTGGACCGTGCCCTTGCCTTGCCCCCGCTTCTTCTCTCATCCCCCTGTCTTTTGGTTTCTCTTCCTTCATGCACTTTCCCCCCTCTTCTAAACAGTTGACATGCTTCCCTTAAGACTTTGTTACCGACAGCAAGCGCTTTAAGGTAAAATATGCTGCTGTCGTTTGCCCCAACCGCCACTGGAACTCAGCCCCTGAAAGCTTTTCAGAAATGCAAGTCAGCCCTTGAGAGTCAGCAGCCCTGGGCTGGGCTTGTCTCTGCCAGCTTCCCATGGACACGGAAACCTCCTGCACGAGGGGAATAGCAGTGGTGTCGGGGCTCGCCTTGTACCCTCTGTCCCAACTCTCAGCTAAATGATCCTGTGGAGAAATTTTTCTGAAGGTTGGAGTTACTTGGTGTGGAATGCAAGCTTGGTCTGGCTTTTAATGTTTGCTCCCCATTTTCCCTTCAGACGTGAACTTGGCTTGACTGCCATCACAATAGAGTTCCTGGGGCCAGAGGTCCCAGGAGATGCGGTTGGAGTATAAATAGCAGGTGGCCTGGGAACTACACATCCCAGGGCTCCTTGCAGCCATGGAACAAATGCCAGCATGCTCTTTGGCATGTGATATATATTTATTTATGGCTTTTGTATACCGTCCAGCTGCCACAGTCTCAGGAGGCCCTGTGAGTTCCAGTGGCACCTATAGTTTTTTAGTTCTTTCCTATAGCTTTTGAGTGTCAGGGAGCCCCTAAAGCAATCTCCCCCAGCTTGGGCCATCCATATATTTATTGTACCACAACTCCCAGCATCCCTGGCCATGCTGGGGGCGGCTGTCAAAGAATCCATAAAGGTACCTCTAGAGCATCTTTCTTCCTCTCTGCAATGAGTTTCTTCCACGCTTTTCGTCTCCGAGTAGGTTTTGTGGTGCAGCTTCCACTTTCTAGCTTAGTTCAGATCTCATGTCTACCCCCAAAGCTGGGGGTGGGGGGGGGGCTTTGATAGTGGATCTCATAGAGAACTCCCTCCCCACAACAGTTGTGGATTCCCCCCACTTCCTACTGCAGGGTCCCTACACACTTTCCTTAGCAAATCCATCCCTTTCCACTTTTCCATCCCTCCCTCGCATTATTTTATTTTATTTATTAAAACATTTTTTATTAAAACATTTTAAAGCATTAGCCACCTTGGAGCAGGGAAGGCCGCCTTGTGCCTTGTCAGGCTGTTTGTCTCATCTTGCTTGGTACTGTCTATGTTTGCTGTCTCTCTTGACAACCCGCCTTCCAGGAAGTCATTATTATTATTATTATTATTATTATTATTATTATTATTATTATTATTAGTATAACATTTCTATGCCGCCCCTTGCCGAAACCTCGGGGCGGCTTACAACATGATAAAATACATTGAAATACAATAGTACATAATAAACTACCATTAAATATAAAAATACAAAAAAATACATTGATTTACAAATACAAAATTAAAATTATCAGTATAAAATAAAAATATAGGAGGAGAAAGAAAAGGAAGAAGAAGTTGCCCAGGCCAGATCATATGTTTTAACAATTGAAATGATGTTTAAATAAAAAGGTCTTTACCTGGCGCCGAAAAACCAGTAACGACGGTGCCAGGCGGACCTCTTTGGGGAGTGAATTCCATAGGTTGGGCGCCACCGCAGAGAAAGCCCTCCTCCGGGTACTTACTCTCCTAATTTCTTTCATGGAGGGTTCCCGGAGAAGGGACTCTCCCGCAGATCTCAAAGGGCGGTCGGGCATATACGGACGTAAGCGCTCGTTCAGGTAGCCTGGACCCAAGCTGTTTAGGGCTTTGTAGGTCATAATCATTCGCTGAGTGAGGTGCATGTCCAGCGAGTTGCAGCCCCTTCCTTCCACCAGGAATCCTTCGGATTCGCTCCAGCAAGCGGCTCATGCATGCATTCCAGCAAACTGGAGCTGAAACGTCTATCAGTTATCCACCCTTCAGGGAGAACTTTTGTTCTTTACTAGGCTGTGAAAGCATGCTTTGATGAAAGCTTGTATTTCCTGCACATCTGCAGGGTGCAGTGGTAGTTCTCTTTTTCTTCCTCCTCCTCTTTTTTGAAGCCTCTGAGCGACCTTTGTTAATGCCTTGCCGTCATCTTGTTACGATCCAGATCCCCACCCCAGGTCTGCTCAGATGTCAGACTACAACTCCTATCATCCTCAGCCAGGCTGGCAGTTAATAAGCAGCGTAGCCCAGCACATCTGAAGGGTACCAGGTTGGGGAAGGCAGAGACTGGACTTCCTCCTGTCAGTAAACCTTATTTCTTGCGGGAGAGGGGAAATCCAGCCTACTGCTTCTTCAGAAATAAAGGTATAAATGAGTGGGCAGTGCATTTGTTTGAGACTCAAGTTACAAGTGCTCTTGAAGGGACGGGGGAATAGGCCTAAGGTGGAACCACCTGCATTACGTCTTGACCTCTTGACCGAGGCCATCTTGGTCTGATTGCCTCACCCTGCAAAAATGCCCTTGGGGATTCGTTCCATGCCAAGTGCTTTCAAGGGATGGATTAATCATTCGGCTAAGTGTGGAAAAGCAGAATATCCTGGCCAGTTTAGGAAGTCTGGCTATGGTGTCATTCTCCATATGTTCCTTCCCCTCCTCTCTGGGGTGTGAAATCATCGTCTGCTCCCTGAGCCAAGCTCATTCAAAAGAAGCACACCGCATCATAGAGAGGAGAACAGGGCAGCCGGGAGCCCCAACCTGTAGGATTTGAGCCTCTGATCACGAGGACCTCCCCTTGCCTTGGGCTGGAACCCCCAAGAGCAAAGCGATTGCAGTGCTTCAGAGGTTTGGCTACAGCCCCCTTGCTGGGGCTACAGGAAGTCGGCCTGCAAGTCAGCTGGCACAGACAGGGGAGTGAGTGCCTGAGCTGAGTCAGTCCTCCCTTGGGCCTTTGCACGTCCCTGTCCCAAAGGCCCCCTCCTCATTAAGCTGGAGGAGGAGAGGTAAGCTGCCTTAAGCCCTTTGTAGGAAAAAGGCAGGCTATAAATTGAAAAATAAATAAATAAAAGAGAGAGACGTGAGCAGGCAGCAGTGAAAACCTTTGCAGCTCACCGCTCCATCCGCATTGGAAGCGAAGGCAGCACTGGAGACCATGCGGAATATCTCAGGCATGAGACAGGAAGAAGCAGATGGGAGTGAGGCAATTGCCTGGGTGGGTCTACTCTGGCGAAAGGATGCTGGCAGAGCAGAAGGCACGTTTGTGGGTCATCTGTGAAACATCCTCCCCCCCACCACCCATGCTCCCTGCTGCTAAATGCAGCCCGACAGCAAGCCCCTCGCTGCCTTTTTCTCACTTTTAATCCCAATTTTAATCCCAACTTTTGACTGCTCTGCCGCTTGATGATTTGTGTTGTCCAGTGGGTTTTCCTCTTTGCTGAGGTCCTGGTTTTGTCCCGTCAGCTACTCAGAGAGTCCCTTTTGGGCTGAGCATGGGCGATCAATTAGCTTAATAAATACACCAAGTGAGTCCTCTGGGTTCAAATCTGAATTGCTGGGTCAGCGTCGTTGTATTTCAGATATTTCTAAGGCTTAATCCTATGCATGTTTAGAGAAAGCCCTCCAACTTGCATCCTGGCTGGTCTTTTCTTTCTGAAATGCGTAGGAACGCACTCTGCACGTTTAGCGGATTCCCTTTCGGCCTTGTAGTGGAACTACTTTAACAAACTTTGCAAGCAGGTTTTCTCAAGAAAGACGGGGCTAGTACGTCTCGTGGTGCCTACAGGCATGACAGCAGAGTTGGTTAAGATTGTGGACCTGTGACATAGATTTTTCCAGCGGTGTTGAAAATAGGTAGCCTGGCCCGGCCCCAGGAAAATGGGCATCCATCCCTTCCCCTTTCAGCCAAGTTACTCCTTCTGTAGTCTTGTATATTACTGGTTGTTCCTACTGCACTTGGTAAAGTTGGCTCAAAATAATGCCACATGGTGCTGGATTTTATTGAGAATAAATGTCATTAAACATGGCAACTAAAAAGAGAAGATACTTTGGGGATGCCATCCGGAGACCTACCAACATTGCCTAGGGGGGCCTTGGATTGGTGAGTGTCCTAGCCGAGAGCTTGGAAATCGAGCTGGACTCCAATTTTGGAGGCCCTCTTCTACTCAGCATGGTACTTTCCATCCCTGCAGAACTGATAGTGGAGGTAGGGAAGGGAAGTGCAAAGCACCCATCCTCAGGGATCCTTGTGGTGCCTCAGCCTCTCCCCCTTGCAGGGAAGAAACATGCATTTAGATGGCCGAAATCCCTGGAAATCAAGGGCAATCGCAGCCTCCAAGCATCTCCCATCTTCCATGGGATGCCCATAATCCTGCAAGTGCATTTATAGAATTACTACCCAACAATCCTTAGAAATTGGGGTTGATGTTTGGTGGGCGGAAGCAGCTTTAAAAAAATCTAACTGCTACCCCACCCCTTTACCGTACACTCGACCAACACCAAGTTCAGCTTGGGACCCTCCACTCTCTGTGCGGTACCTCTGAAGTCCAGATCTTTCCCCTCCAAATGTACCTGATGGCAACATAAGAAGAGTCCTGCTGGATCTGACCAGAGGCCCATCTGGATCCGTATCTTGCTGCCTACAGTGGATTAAGGTCTGAGTGTGGAAGGATCCGTTCTTGGTTCCTGTTAGAGGTAAAGTTATTTGAACTTGAAGAGTTCTTATTCTCAGTTCCTCCCAGATTCAAATTCACCTTGATCTCTAATACTAACTTTTGGCCCTCTTCAAACCAATTGGTTCAATCTGAATCTAAGCATTTGGATTGGCATTTAAATTTGAATTAATTAAATCTGGCATTCATGTTGAAATTATCTGTAAAGGATGCCTTGCTTGGTTCATGTTAGAAATGAAGGTCATCTTCAAGCAGAGCAGAAATCCAAGGAAGAAAAAAACTTATTTGAACTTGTGAACTTTGGTTGAGAACAAATTGGGCACCCCACAAATTGGTTAGTTGGTATCAGCGTCCTAATATGTATTAAGATAAGGTGGTTCCAAAATCTCCTGTAAAACTTTTTAATCTTTTTGTCCCTTTCTTTCATGAATGCATACTCAACACACTCACATTTGTTTTAAATTACTTACAAGAAACGACATTACAGAATCTGAACATAAACTTGATCGTAATAAGTTCATTTCTGTGGTGCTTGGGCAGAAAAATCCCAGGTGGATTGTGTTCAGGGTGCAATCCCATAAAAAGATCCCGAATGCTTGTTTTTTCTGGACCTTATCAAGTTCCTCCCTGAACACAAGGCAGAACAAAAGGGTTTGAGCTGGAAACGTTCCTTGCTCTCTCTCTCTCTCTCTCTATGCAAGCATTCGTATCAAAGGGCAAAGCAGAAAGGAGCAGAACCTGTTAGTACCCTGATGGAAGGACACTTTTGGGGAAGTCTGCCAGAAAATGACCTCTAGGAGTTCATAAACAACCCCGAGGCTTGGGAGAATGGGAGCGACATGTCCTTCCACAGTCTTACAGGAGAAGCACTTCTGTAAGTCCCATGAGGCTGAAGGACCAGGGGTCAGGCAGATGAGAGTTCACACCTCCGCCGTGGTCCTACTCACACATTCTAGCGCAGGAAGAGCGCACCTGCGTGCCTGCATGCGTTTTCCAGAGGCTTTATGTCAAAAGCCCAGCTGCACCTGCCGGCCACCACCGTGACTGGAGGTGCGTGTGGATGCTAGGTCCATTCTGCTTTTCCAGAAGTTGCTGACATCTTGCTCACGCGGCATTCAGATCTCCGTTCAAAGGCGCCTGTACTGAGGAGCTGTGAGGACTAGTTGATACCTGAAGTAATATGGGCGCTTGACTCTAAGCTAATGCCTTATGACCTGTAGCACCTGGAAAGTTATCAGCCGCTTGTAAATACCTGGGACCAAACGTCTCTGCATGCAGCCTTCAAGCTCCCGCCCCCTGCGCACCCAGTTGGGAGATCTGAGCGATGCTTAAATCTCCGCTTTGGTTATGGCACCACTGCGCGTCGTCGTTGGTGTTTCCTTTTCCGCCAACCCCTTGTGCCTCTGCCTGTCTGATATCTCACTAGCAAGCATCTTGCCCACCTGGTCCCCTGTTTTTCCTTGCCCTGCAGCCACCCTCTGTGGCCCCAAGCTTGAGGTCGTGGGGTTTGTGCCTGACGACTCATTGGCCATCCTCTGCAGCGTCTCTAGTCCCGCTGGCCACAAGCTGCTAGCGCTCAGGAAGTCCCCGTTGCTCCTTGGAAGGCGCTTGCCCGGCTGCCTTCTCTTGATGAAGGACAGCTTGCTTGCCATGACCACCACGATCATGAGCAGGCACACACAAATGAAGACGAGCACCCCGATGACGATGAGGCAGATGAGCAGTAGCCTTTTATTGCCTTCTTCGCAGAGTTCAGCTTTACTCTGGTCCTCGCCAGGAGTCGCATGTTCTTGGCCCGTACCAGAGAGAGTGAAGGAGGATGCTGTCGCCTCCGATGGAGAGGCTGAGGCAAAAGATGGCATTGATGTCTCTGGGGAGGAGGACTTTAGAGGTGTAGTTGTCTGCATCGTATCCATTGTCGTCTCCTGGGGAGCCAGTGTAGTAGGAGGCGAGCTCATGCGTGTGGGGGGCGAGCTCGTTGTGGTTTCGTGAGTGGAAGCGGAAGGGCTTTCTGTTGTTGTCAAGGGAGTCATAGTCATGTTTGCTCTTCCTTCTAAGCAGAAGGATATGATGGTTCCCAAAAGGAAGCCCAAATGCACGCAAGATTTTCCTGCTGCTTTCATGCTTACGGCACGTGCGTCACCTGCAAGAAGAGCGAAGCAGTACGGTTAATCGGCCTGACACCCCGAGCGAGGACAGGCCGACCCAGGCGGCCCTTGGCACGATGGCACGCAGCTGAATGCCAAATGCTTCCGCGTGCCATCAGTCCGGGCTGCCGGTGAGAACCCTCTGCCCCTCCCTGGCAGCCTGCTGTGTGGCTCAGAAGGAAGGAGGCGGAGGAAATGGGGCTGGCAGGAAGAAAAGGGGTGCCCTACCCACATTCAGCCGTGGCTCTCCCCACTCTGGGTCTGCCCCTCACCTCAAACCAACGGATCACCCATAAGCGATGCAGCCCCGGACAGGGAAAAGCTGCCTACCCCTGCTCTATAGACTTCGCCGAGAAAGATTTCTCATGAGGTTAACAAGCAGTGCACCTAAATGCTTTCTTGGCATGTTCTGCTTTCCTGATTGGTTAACCTTCTGTACCGCTACGTTTAAGGTAAAGATATACCACATTTCAAAAAACTGTAAAACCTACAAACTCAACATAGCAAACAGATTAACAGATGAATCTGGCTTTAGTCCAATGGAGTTTTCTCCAACCTGGTGTCTCCAGATGTTTTGGACTGTAGCTCCCAGCATTTCTGGCCATTGGCTAGGCTGGATAGGCTGATGGCAGTTGAACTCCCAAACATCTGGAGGGTTTCAGGTGGGAGAATTCTGGTCTGAGTTTAATGACATTCATTGCTAAGCTGATTGAAGGCCGATCACTTGTCATTCATGTTCTGTCTTCCCCAGCGCTGTAGATATTATGGAAAAAAATAGTTTCTTTTGGTTATTTATAGTGCCTTGTGTTCTGTTAAAATTGGAATGGATAAATATCATGGCTGTTTTCCCATCTGTGCTGAAACTTAAGACTGTTCTCCTGAAGATTGTTCTAGAAGCCAAGAATGCTTGGCTAAAATTAAAGGTTTTTTTTAATATTAGGACCACAATACCTAATTTGTTCCTCTGAAATTACTTTGGAGTACTTGAGCTGCTCCCAGCACCTTTCCTGTACCTGCAGTGGCCTTCACTCCTGTGAGCAATTTCCAGCAGGACAAATCCAAAAAGCCAGGTACTCCTGTAATCCTGAATACTGATCCCAAGGCAGATCTGTAAATATACCGGAGAGCTCTAAAAGGCAAACTTCCTTAAGAAGGCTAGTCTTTGAGGTAGCGTCTTGGTGGTTGGAGGGTTGAACTGGGGACCCAGGAGATCTGGGTTCTAATCCTTACTGGGCCATGAAAGCTTATCAGGTGGCTTCGTGCCAGTCATGCATTCTTATCCTAAGCTACCACACAGGGTTGTGTTGGGAGAAAAAGATGAAGCTGTGTAAGCCAGCCTTCCCCAACTGTGTGCCTTTTAAACGCATCTGGACTGCAACACCCAGAATTCCCAGTTAATGACCCTGTTAATGTCTGTTAATGACAACAGAAATTCCCAGCTAATGACCCATTCTGGGAGCTGTGGCCCAAATGCCTCTGAAGGCCACCAGGTTGGCGAAGGGCGGTGTAGCCATATTGGACTCCACAAGAGTGAAAAAGGTAGGATATAAATGCAACAAGAATAAAAATCTTATTTGGTCCAGGTTTTGGATCCATGCAAAGCCCTTCTTTGTGTTTGACAGCACCAACAGGAGGAATAGGAGTGGATTAATGTTTTAGGACATGTTGTAGATCTGTGGGGACACAGCACGCATGTGAGTAAGAAGGAGATCGTGATGTCACAAAGCTTGTTCAAACAGAGAACAGGGCTCAGGGCACACGGCACGCCCTGTGTCGCACGTAGATGCCCTCAAAAGCCTTGTGACCTCGCCTTTCAGTGCTTTGAAGCCTTTCCAAATGCACATTCCACTGCCACCCCAACTTGCCTTCTGCCCATCATGCGATCCATCCGGCTCAATATAGGAATCAGCACATAGGTTTCTAGTCCTCATTGTTGGGTAGTGGTGGCCCCTTATGGACCCTGTGGGCTGTACCTGCTGAGTGTGGAGCGAGCAGTCAGGCTCTGGCAACTTCTGGCCTAGGCTGTCGACAGCCTTCCTGCCCTGCATAGTTCCCCACCCCAGAAATTCTGTGTCTCCCTTCTCCTATCAGTTTTCCTCATCCCCTGTGCCTCTCTGCTTTCCTTCCTCTTACAACACACTGCCTGGGTGTAGCCCATTCTGACTGGCAGCAGCTCCCTGGGGTCCCAGGTGGAAGGATCCCCATCACCTCCTACTCAGTATCCTCCTCCTGAAGATGGGAGGATTGAACCCAGAATCTTCTGCATGCGAAACATACTGTCTTCCTCTGAGTTGCGGCCTCTCGTTTTTATCAGCGAGGAATGAAGAAGCAGTTTTATTCTGGCTCTGATTTTGGGCCATCTAGCCCAATATGGTCCATGGTGTCTTTGTCGGCCCAGCTGCCCCTCCACAGGAGAAGCTCTGCCCCATATTTTCTTTTTTTTACCCCAAGAATGAGGAGACAGACTAGGATGCACAGTAAATGCATAACTGCTCCACTCTATTTCTTGATTCAAGCAAGACTCGTGGAGTCACGGGAGACCTGGGGCATCTATAACTCTGCTAATAGTTCAGTTTCCCCCTTACCCCCTTCCGAGTTTCCTGATATTGTTAGATTGCCCTGCATGGCGCCGTTCACACTGTGCTCGAAGCTTTCACAAAGATGCCCATCCTTGGCACACTCTGATTACTCTATTGCTGTCTATTTGCTTCCACTGTTAGTACAAAGCACCCACTGTTAATTGTACTGCTCGATGGTAGATGTTGAGGATTTTACTTAAGCAGACAAAAGCCGAAGAACGGCTCTTTATCCACCTTGGTTCACTCCAGCTAAATAGCTATTTTGTGGGAGAACAAAACGGGACTTGCCCCAACCACCTTGGCAGGTTCCTGATAGTTTCACGGTCTTTCAAGCGGCTCTCCTTTCTTCTGCAAATAACCTTTATTCTGCCAGAAATCACCTTTACAGCCCAATAACCAGTGGGCCTTGCTTCCCCCCCCCCCCGTCTTTTTTCCCAATACGTTTCCTGCTCTTAGTGTACACTAATCTGAACAAGATAGTTTTGCTTTTAAAATATTGTAATCTGCAGGATACATTACAAGGAAATGCAGACATACAATCCAACGAAAAGGTAAATACAGGCTTACCTGGAGGGAGAGGTTGACAATGTTTGGCTTTCAAGTTCTGTAACTTAGCTAAAGGCACCTTGGTATTGTGTTCTGCCAGCAGTACTAACAGCTCGAAACTGGGGATTTTTTTTTATACATTCAAGTGCATGTGCGCCCGAAACATGGTGTTTAGTTCTCCATTTAGAGAACTAAACCACAAAGCTGACACACTTCCTCTCTGGTGTAAGTATACCATGACATCTTAGAGGAAGGAGGGGAAGAAGAACTGTTCTGCCCAAAATTAGTCTCTGGATTGCAGGATAAAGCACAAAAACATCTTTGCTTTTAGGGTGGAAAATCTTTTTCTCTGCCATAACCGTGCTCACATTAAGCCCAGCCTGTTTTTACCTGACTGTTGCTTTCCAGGCAGCTGGGGACAACATCATGGTCAACCATTTTTGTCCAAGGATGGACAAATTATGAACAAGTCTGCCATAATCGAGTGCTGAGTTAGTCCAGTTCTTAGAGGCACGGCGGTGTTTTCAGAAACGTGGAGCTCTGTTTGTGGGCTTTATATGAGGTTCACCCACAGTGCATCTTGATTTTCACAGTTGCGGCTAAATTTAAAATGGGTTATTTTCACATATCATAGCTGAATTCAGCTTGCCAAAGGAAGTAGAATTCATGGCTTCCAGGGCGCTGATGGGCAGGCATCCAGTGGGGTGTGACCACGTGCTCTTTGGAAAGGGATCATCAAAAGAAGGAAGTATTGGGTTTAGCGACTTGAAAGCCTATCCCGAAGTGAAACGGGCTACGTGTTGAACACACGCCACTACCCATGGCTGCTGTTGAATGCCTCACTCGTGACAAGAAGGAAGGGACCAATAAGGAATCACGTTTTATTTATTTATTTCTTTATTTATTTATTAAAACATTTCTATGCCGCCCCTTGCTGAAGCCTCGGGGCGGCTCACAGCAGAAATAAAATACAATAAAATAGAAAAATAACAATATAAAATTAACAATATAAAATAAATAACAATACAAAAGAAGTCACCCTGGCCCGATAAATAAGCAGATATTGTTAACAATTAAAATGACGCTTAAATAAAAAGGTCTTCGCCTGGTGCCGAAAAACAAATAACGATGGCGCCAGGCGGACCTCTCTGGGGAGCGCGTTCCATAGATTGGGCGCCACCGCAGAGAAAGCCCTCCTCCGAGTACCTACCCTCCTAATTTCTTTCATGGAGGGTTCCCAGAGGAGGGCCTCCCCCACTGATCTCAAGGGGCGGCTGGGCTTATATGGGCACAAGCGCTTCTCTCCACTGGCTACGCTTCTCCTAACATATGACGTTTTACTCAGGAGAATATAAAATGAGCTCTAGCATAAGGGTTTTCATCCCAAATGATGCGTATTCTTATATGTGCAGAATTTGCCTATTCCCAGCATGGTGCATTCTTTGTATTCCTTTTCCAAATTCCTAGGCTAGTGAAATACAGAAATGAAAAGACAGAGTGCGCCGCAGACATTCAACAGATGTGCTTTTGCTATGTGAAACCATAAACAAAAGCATTAAAGAAATCACTCCTGGAGCAGCGTTCTCGACCTGGATGCCCTCCAGATACGTTGGATTACGGTTACCATCATCCCAAGGGCCATGCTGGCTGAGATGTGGGGACTGTAGTCCAACTCTTGGAGGACACCAAATTGGCAAGTGACCGAAATGGAAAACAAAACCGATAGCGTCACTTTCTTTAAAATTCTGGGAAATCACCTTTAAAAAAGCAAGTATATTGAGTAAAAGAAGCTATGTCCATCCCGATCATGACTATAATCTATCCAAAAGAAACCCAATTTGACGGTTTAGCCACAGCAGTAGTAATGTGTGTTATACTTCGATTGATGCCAGCCAGGAAATAGTATCCTTGTAATGCTACATGCATTTCAGATTCTGGGCAACGTGCTTTTACCTGGCCTTTTGTCCAGATGACAGCTGAACAGATACGGAAAGCGATCATCAGATGTCGGCCCTCCCAGGTTACTATACCTGTTACACCTTCCCAAGGAACCAGCTTGGTGAATGAGTACGGACACCTCTCATGGTAACCATGTTAAGGTTTTCTCCCCTGGAGAACAACTCAGTGCTTTTAATTATGTGTAAAACTGCTCTAAATGAGCTTGTTTGGGATCCTGAAAGCATTTAAATGCTCCTCTTCTTCTCCTTTCTGCTATTCACTGGAATGCTCTTGCATGCAACCAATTAAGCGGCAGGATGCCACGTTGGACTCTCCGCAAATGAAACGTCTGAATTATAATCCCATCAAATGGAGGGACTTGTAATGGAAATGCCAGTAGACATCTAATTGGGGCAGCACCGCTCTAATAAATGACTTTGTTTTCCGCGTTTAAGCGCAGGCATAATTTGGAAGTTTATAGAAGGCAAATAAATCGGGATTTGATGAGGAATCCTTGCTGAGATATGGCTGCTGGTTTGGTTTTTATAGAGGAGAGAAGCTTTTGTTCGTTTAAGTGGCCAGCCTAATTTTAAAATAATGGATGTGCTCTTATTCCCTTATGTAGTTTCTTCAGTTGTGATCTTTGAAGACTTATTTCTCTCGGCAGGGGTGGTCCTGTTTCAAGCGTTTGTTGTCATGACAGCTGGGGTTCTCCCAGCTCGGTGGTCTCTGGTGTGACGTGAAGCATGTAGGGTCAAAAATGACCAGATTTCTGGCCGTCTCTTGTGTGACGTGAAGCATGTAGGGTCAAAAATGACCAGATTTCTGATGTCCGAGGGTACCTCCTGCACTACACCCTCTAGATCAGGAGTGGTAGAAGGGTGAGCATCAGATGTTCTAGGAGTTGCAGTTCAAAGCATTGGGAAATCTACCTTTGGGCCCCCCATGCTCTGGATGAGCATAGTGTAGGTCACAGGGCTGCTTCCACACACTGGTCTCAGAATCGCAAGTGATTTCACTAGACCCTGGGATGTTCGGATGTCGGCATGACTGCAGAGGTCATTCTGTGCACAGTGTGCCAGGAAGCCTCTGTTCAGCCCCTGTGACTGCTCTAAAAGTTGCGGCATGCGGTCCCAGCTTGAAGTAAAGGCATCTGTATGAAATTCATGTTTCTGAATGTCCGTTTACTACATTCATATATTACATTTTTGGGTGTGCATTTATATAAAACTTGGGAGCGTTCAAAGCACTTCGCATAGGTTGTTCTGTTGTGATCATTCCAACTGCTCTGCGAAGTAGGCCAGTGGACCGAGACAGCTTGCTCTGCTCCTGGCAAAGGTAAGCTTTGGAGCAGCTGATTTGCAGCTCACATGGACTGGTTGTTGGTTGGTTGTTCCAAGATCTAAAGATGCAGCTACTCCCCTCAGGGAGTTCCTTTGCAAAGGTCGGTCCGATTGGTTTCCCTGAAGGGTAGGATTGGCTCTGTCGCCATTTGGCTGCATTCGTAATGTAGGTTGATGAACGCTGTACAGTCAACACAACAGATGAGCCCTGATTTGCTACTGCTTCTGCCTTGGTAGCCCCTTCTCTGTGGAGCTGATTTCTCTGGGGGTGGGAGGTGGACTCTTGGGGGCATTTAATGCTGACCAAGACATCTCAGGCCAAGATGCGTCCAACGTTTGTCTTTATTTTGTCTTTATATTCTCTTCATTTTTCCCTTCTAGGTTCAAGACCGGCCAGATCAATGGCGATTTGCTGATCTACCATGTCCTGTTAACTCTGAAGCCATACTACGCCAAGCCATATGAGATTGTGGTGGACCTGACACACACCGGCCCCAGCAATCGTTTCAAGACAGACTTCCTGTCCAAGTGGTTCGTTGTTTTCCCAGGGTTCGCGTATGAAAATGTCTTTGCTGTTTTCATCTATAACTGTAACTCTTGGGTGAGGGAGTACACCAAGTACCACGAGAGGCTTCTGACAGGCCTCAAAGGCAGCAAGAGGCTCATCTTCATCGACTCTCCCGGGAAACTCGCGGAGCACATTGACCACGAGCAGCAGAAACTGCCCGCAGCCACCTTGGCCTTAGAAGAAGACCTGAAGGTTTCCCACAACGCACTCAAGCTGGCCCACAAGGACACCAAAGTTTCTATCAAAGTATGTCTCTTGGGCCACACTGGGTTCATTGCTCACAGCTTCTTGACTTTCCCCACGTCAGCAAAGCCCAAATTAATACATCCAGAAGAAAGTACAATGGACATTTTAATAATTTATGCAGGCTGTGGAATTAAGCTTTTCTTTTCTGCACATTTTAAAGGTGATCTTACCTACTATAGTTTTGATTAGACCTCGGTGCCATGTATGGCGATCCGGGGCTACAGCTCTCCAGATGGGTGGCACATGAACAAAAAGCGATGATGCTTGGACCGATTTGCTTCTCTGTGTATGGTCGGTCCGTGTTAAGAAGGTTCCCTCAGGTGTATCATTTCCATTTCCGTCTGTAGCGTCTTCAGCTAAAAGGGGATCTCAGAGGCCCTTGAAGGGAGAACTGCTAAGTGGAGTCAACAGCTAGGTGGACTAACCAAAGAGAAGACAAATGTGAACTTACAGATCTGTTTTAGAAAGTCAGACTAAAACAGATCTATAAGTTCACATTTGTCTTCTCTTTGGTCTCCATTTATAATCCTACCTTTAGCGGAAGTTCACCTGCTGTCCATCCCGTTGTTACCTGATGGCTTTCCCAAATATTACAACATTGGTTGACTTTGTATATGTACTTGACCGTTGACTCAGGTCGACCCTGGGGTTCTTAGTTTTGGCATGCATCCTAAATGAATGTTCTATTTTTTTTTAAAGGCTCCCTCTACTGCAAATTGCTTTGTCCCGGGCATCAGACAATAATGTGAAAAACTACTTAGCACAGACCAAATTAATATACATTCCCACCAAAGCAAATGCTGCTTTATTTAAAGTTTTATTCCCACACAGCATGCATGGGTCCGTAATCAAGGATTTCCCAGTCAGTAATAGATTTTATGTATATACCAAAATGGCTGAGCACATACTCAAGATCAAGAAGGCAGGTCAGGATGGGAAAAACTCTGTTAACATGGGAGCGGACCCCTTTCTGGCCTACAGTAGCACTGGGTTCAGAATGGCTAAGAAACTTGTACCTAATAAATAGGTCTCTATCCATAAATGTTGGCCACCATCCCACACATTAAAATACTTCATAAAAATAAATAGTGGTTGTCCTTTAATCTCTTTAGGGGAATTACAGTAGCTGATGCTGTTGAGTGACTTGGTTGTTTCATCCCTTGCCCAAACTGAATGCTTTTACACAGGTTGGTTCGACAGCTGTTCAGGTCACTTCGGCTGAGCGCACGAGAGTCCTTGGGCAGACGGTGTTCCTGAATGACATTTACTACGCCTCTGAGATAGAAGAGATCTGCCTTGTGGATGAGAACCAGTTCACCTTAACCATCGCCAACCAAGGCACGCCCCTCACGTTCATGCACCAGGAGTGCGAAGCCATCGTGCAGTCCATCATCCACATACGGACGCGGTGGGAACTCTCGCAGCCTGACTCCATCCCACAGCACACAAAAATCCGGCCCAAGGATGTACCTGGAACACTGTTGAATATTGCGTTACTCAATCTGGGCAGCTCAGACCCAAGCCTACGGTACGGATCTCTTAGTTCCATCCAGAATTCTGTAACAGGCTCTAGTTCTTTTAAGGCTGTTCAGAACCTTTCCTTCGGTTCTGCTTTGAAGCATATGGGCTATAATTTATCAAGTGTATTGCATGTGGGTAGAACGTTTTCCATTGGGAAAACGTATTTATTTATTTAAAGCATTTCTATGCCGTCCTTTGCACAGCCTCAGGACAGCTCACAATATTGTTCCATATATTGTAGAACAACTATTCAGAATTGTTTCCTTTCCTTAGTCAGCGCTAAGGCCCATGTCCTCCTCTTTCTCGCCATTGTGCCATTGCATTAAAAAGTGCCGTCAAGGTCACAGAAACATACTTCCATACAATATGATTAGGAAGCAGATATCTCCTTCAGCCTTTTATTGGGTTTTATGAGAGTCTGCTTTAAGACAGGTTTATTGATGCAATCTCAGTTACCTAATCCTGGTTAACCATCTCTTCTACAAACATATTATTTTAAATGCGAGTACTTCCCAACACTGCAGGTGGCTGATGTTATCTTAAAAGGAACATTTCATGTTTTTTTCTCTCTTATGCACACACACCTTTTATCAAGAGGCCCAGTTTATGTGCACTTAATCTAAATATGAAGCATTATTTTTTTCCCTCGGAATGACTTTGTTTTCCCGCATGCCGCTCCTACAGATTTAATTGGCTGGTTGATTAGCAAGCATTGACGGGAGTGATCAACTACTGTTTTGGGGGACTCCTTCCATGCTGGGTTGTGTTCAGGATTCCATTTGGGAGCCATGCTCCTCTCCTTGCAAGGCATCTCGGGTTGGGAAGTGAGAAAACAGAGATCAAAGCTGATTTCAGTGTTAGGAAATTGTTTTCTGAGTACAGCCTGTGCCGCAAGTCCGGTCGAGGAAGCTTTTTTAAAAACGTGTCCTTTATGCTTTGTTGCAGGTCTGCAGCTTATAATCTTCTCTGTGCCTTAACATGTACCTTTAATTTAAAGATTGAAGGCCAGTTACTGGAAACTTCAGGTCTATGTATCCCCGCCAACAACACCCTTTTTATTGTCTCCATTAGTAAGACTTTGGCAGCTAATGAGCCTCACCTCACCTTAGAGTTTCTGGAAGAATGCATTTCCGGATTTAGTAAATCTAGTAAGTGGAGCTTGTTTATTTCTCTTATCATTCTAACAAGGGTGGTCTTGGCCTTGGGGTTGGGAATCTGCCCGGCGAAGACACCAGCGGTGATGCTCCAGTGATGAATATCATTTTAATCCAGTTCTTCTTTCCGCAGCAGTAGTTTTAGCTTGCAGCTAGCGAGGCAACCTGCGGGGAGTTCATAGGTGCCCTTTCCGAATGCAACGGGCATATCTGTGCCCCAATCAGCAGGCACAGCAGAGTGTTCTGGTGCCAGGCAGTGCCATGAACCAAGACTGCCGTCTGCGAGTGCTGATGACAATGCCAAGTCAATATTATTTCATTTGAACAGCCAGTCGTATCCGGCAGGCTTCTTGCTTTCAGTGAAACAGCCGCCTGCAAATAATGGCTTTAGGAAAATCCCACTGTCCAGATTCAACTGCACTTTGGTTTTGTGGCGTGTTTTCAACCAGGGTCTGCCTTCTTTTCTGAAATTCAGGAGAGTGCCCCATTTCCAGAGCAAGTTCCAGAATCCAAGAGGATCCTCCCTTAACTCATCAGAATAAAATATTTACTTATCAAGAGTATAGATCATGCAGTATTATATCCTACAGATCCTTACAGATTTTGGCTCATTTTAAAGCTGAAAGGTGCTTCCCAAGCATGGGCCTTGCTCATGTTTGTGGAGAAATAAATGCAGTTCTCCTGCATTCTTTTAAAGATCATGGTACATTTGCAGCTGTCTCACACTACTGAGGTTTGATCCTCTTTGATGGACATGTAAAAAGCTTTCTTTTAAAAATCTTTTCAGGAAAGTCCTGAAAGCCAGTGTAGTGTAGTGCTTAAGAGTATGGGACTGGGACTCAGGCGACCTGGGTTCTAGCCCCACTCAGCCATTCAGCCAACCGGGTGACTTTGGGCCAGCCACAGACTCAGCTCAGCCTACCTCACAGGGTTGTTGTTGTAAGACTCAGACTGAGAGGAGCAGAATTATGTAAGCCATTAAGAAAAAGAAAAAAGGTGGGATATAAATCTAATAAATAAGGCACAATACTGTAGTATATTACCATACAAATGAACAAATGAAAAGCTTGTGTATTGAAAGATCTCATATGAGTCTTTTCTCTGAACACGCTGCAGAGACACATTACCACCCCTGAGGGAAGCTTTTTTCCAAATGCAGCATTAATTGTTCCATACAGGATTAAGACAACCCTTTGTTTGCATAGGCGGAAAACAAAAGGGATGCCCAGGAGTGCGATCATTTTGCAGGAGAAAACCAGACTTCTTGTATCATTTTTGAGAAACGCTCAGGCCTTGATGAATTCCCAAGAGAGGCATTCCAGAAGCGTGCATTCCTTGGCCCTGAACGTGAACTTCAGTAACTCATAATGCTAGTCCCTGTGTTGCCTCTTCTTCTGGCTTTAATCAGGGCCGAAGAAGAACTCCATTCCTTTCCCCATCCGTCCACAAGCTCCTATGCTCCTTCCCGCCCCATGTGCCCAGCAGTGGTGGCTGCACCAACACCCAGTGGATAGAAGCCCTTCCCAGCCCTGCCCCAGTGCTTGGGGTTTGCAGGTCCCATGAGACCTGCATTACAGAGGCTCACAAAGCCATTTCAAGGGGTCCAATTTGACCTGGGTTGATTCAAAAGACATTGATCTCTCTCCTGGTGTGTGTGTGTGGGGGGGGGGGGAGAAATAGCCCTGCTTATGCCAAGCCAGGTCTGGCAAGGTAGAAGAGGTGAGGTGGACTTCCATCCCACCGTTCCCCCAGCCGAGAGAGATGCTGACTGGTGGAGCGGCCGTGGAAACGCCTCGCCTCCTAACCTTTCCGTCCAGACCTGGCTTGCACAAGACCAAGTCAGGAGGGTGCTCTTGTGTTAATATTTGCAGCACCTGGTCCATGGTGCCTGGCACGTGTGTCTGAAGGTGCCCCTGCCTTTAATCAGCCTCCAGCGATCTTGAGTCAAATCAAGGGAGCCGTGTTTTTCCAGCAGAATGCCTGGCTTCTTTCTTCGCCAAACTGCTGAAAATCAGTAGAAATCACAATCAGTGTGATGAATCAATTCATCAGAAATCACACTGCTCTTGGGAGCCCCCTCCATTCCAAAGGTAGCATGAGAAGCCGCAGCCCAAGAAATGCCACTCCGAAGCTGCCTTCGGTATTTCACTCTCCTTTGGATCCTCGACTTGGTTCCTTCTTTCCACGAATCTGAACTTTGCTCTTTCTTAACGTATCTCGAGTTTGTTTTAGGATGATAACCTTACAGTCTTTGGTACAGGATTCTGCCTATTCCAAGAAAGAGGTCACCTACCCTGACCTTTTCATATACCGTGATTTGTATTCTGTCTCAGGCATTGAATTGAAACACCTCTGTCTGGAATATATGACCCCCTGGCTTTTGAATCTGGTCCGCTTCTGCAAACACAACGATGATGCCAAGCGCCAGCGAGTCACTGCTATTCTGGATAAGCTCATCACAATGACAATAAATGAGAAACAGATGTATCCTTCCATTCAAGCCAAGATCTGGGGGAGCCTTGGACAGGTACGGCTTTTCAGAGCATTCTCCCCTCGGATTTTTATGGGAAACATTTCATCTATCTATCTATCTATCTATCTATCTATCTATCTATCTATCTATCTATTTAAAACTTTTATATGCTGTCGCCCCATGCCTCGGCATCTCGGGACGGCTTACAAACGTACAATTCAAACCAATAAAACAATAACAATTCCATAAAATTATATAAAAACAAAAACAGAAAAGCAACGGTTAATGATAAAATATTATTTTTTAAAATAGCCATTAAATCAAAAGGTTTTAACCTGGTGCTGAAAAGAATATAAACTCAGTGCCAGGCACACCTCTCCGAGGAGCGCATTCCATAATCTGGGCGCCACCGCAGAGAAGGCCCTGCTCCAGGTAGTTGTTCTTTTTATCTCCTTTAAAGAGGGCTCCCATAGCAAAACCTCTCCTGCCGATCTTAAGGGGTACGAGGGCATGTAAGGGAAGAGGCGCTCCTTCAGGTATCAAAAAAAATGATAAATGTTCCCTCCCATCACTTAAGGATTAACCCAGAACGTCATTTTGTCCCCTGCCTTGCTGGAGTTACAAATTCCGGTAGATCGTATGCATTTCTCGAGCCTTCCCTGTTCATATTAAAAATCACTCTCTTGGTATCTCTGAACATCTCTACAGCGTTCACTGGCTCCGCGAATCCAGAAATGGCCACTTACACTTTTTTCTGATACTCGGTCGGACAGAGGTGCAGAAATTTACATTCCAAAACATCCAGTTCTTTTGTCAGAATGAACCGCCTGGTGGAGCTGACGAAGGTGTTTTTAATTTCTAGGGATGGAATTTGGGGTGTGTTCAAATGAACATGGCTACCTAGTTGTATTAAAGCATCAATATGAGGAAGAGCCTTTTGTACTTGGAACAGGCAAGGGGCCGCCTTCTGGGTATTTTGGCCTATTTCAGCCATGGCCAGCATCACTAGTGGTGAGGAAGGATGGGAATTGTTGGCTGAAGCACCTGGAGGGCCACGGCTTGTCTACTCCAGATGTAGGTTAACCTGTTTGAATGGCTTTTTCCCAACAGATAACGGATCTGCTTGACGTGGTGCTGGACAGTTTCATCAAAACGAGCGCCACAGGCGGGCTCGGATCCATCAAGGCCGAGGTTATGGCAGACACAGCTGTAGCTCTGGCTTCTGGAAACGTGAAACTGGTTTCCAGCAAAGTAAATTCTTCTCTTCAGTTTAACGCGAGTTTGGTGCTTTGGCCCTGTCTCCCGCTTTCCCAGCACAAAACATGATTTCACCTTGCCCTGGCCTCCGCCCTTTCCCTTATTTTCCTTTTTCTTCAGATGTAGGCTATAAACCATGAGAGGTAGATACAAAGGAGAAGCTTCTGATCTTGCTCTGCTCTGTTTTGCTCAGAGAGCAGGCAAACTGCTGGCTGATTCTTATGGAGAGGGCAGGCTCCATTGACTGTGTAGCTTTTATCATTATGCATGAAAGGAAATAAGAGCAAGGCAACGAGCTCCAACTCGTTCGGGGCAGTACTTCCAACGGCGGCAACTGTGTGCTTCCAAGAAGTCCACAAGTGTGGCTTGAAGACACCCACCCTTTGTGAATCAACAGCAGCTACATACAGATGTGCATAATTTCAGGGGCAAAAGCTCTGTAGCATTTCTGGCATACCCTTCTCTCCAGGAAGGGAGCTGAAGGGAAGCTAATTTTCCACTTGAGCACAAGCTGATGTTGATGTTGCACAGGGCTGATGTTCAGGTTAGAATAGGAAAGGAAAGGAAAGGAAAGGAAAGGAAAGGAAAGGAAAGGAAAGGGTGTTCTCAGCATGCCAGTCATTTGAACAACAGCCATACAGGCACTTCCTTGAGAGCTGGGAGCCCAGATGGGCAGGCTCAGGTGAAAGCAGCCAGGCAGGCCAAAGCATGGAGGGAGCAGAAATTACTCTCAGTTTGGCACTGCACATGTCAAAGAAGCTGAGCCTGTGTTGCCATAGGCAGAGTTAAATTTACATTTTTGCAGGTGCCTCTGTATTTAGCTGAAGCCCAGAGGCTTCCTGGAAGAAGTTGGATCAGAATGGAGGGAAAGGTGACGCTGCCTGGGCGTTCCAGCCATCATATGACTGTGTTTCCCCGAAAATAAGACCTAACCGGAAAATAAGCCCTAGCATGATTTTTCAGGATGCTCGTAATATAAGCCCTACCCCCAAAATAAGCCCCAGTTTAGATCTTCAACCAGACTGACAGGGAAACACGGTTGTACATCCGTTTTAACACATGATAAATGTATTGAATTATAAAATAGTCATGCTAATATATAAATAAATATAAAGAAACATTTTTGACATTAATACTTAAAATGATAATTTACATCATAATTAAGTATTTGTAAATACCGAAGTGGGCGCCTTTGGAAGAGAGGTAAACGCCTATGTAAACAGATGAACCCAAGACTTACTCCCAAATTACCAATCAGAGTAGAGACACAATGCACAAATAACCTGCGTGTTTGATAACGAGCGGATGTGTTTCATAATCCAATACGTCGTGTGTTGTAACGGACGTACTTAAAGAACGGATGCAGAATGCAAGATGGGAGAAAAAGAGCGATTCTGTCGAGCACAGGAAAGGAACCATGGAGGCCTCTTGGGGCGAGAATCTTACGGTTTTCATAAGAAAAAACAAGGCATCACTTGAAAATAAGCCCTAATGTGTCTTTCGGAGCAAAAATTAATATAAGACCCGGTCTTATTTTCGGAGAAACACGGTAACAGGAAAGGAACCTGAATGCCAAGATTAAGCAGTGGAGAACCTTTGCTTCCGAGCACGACGAGTGTTCAGGAAGCGAGGACCTTATCCCTGCTGCCGTTTCGCTTTGGGACATTCACCCCAGCACCCCCTTGCAAGCATCTTGCTTCCCCCCCGTGCTGTGTTGCTGCTCGTTATTGCTGCTTCAGAGCTAGCTCCCCCGTAGCTAAAAGCAGTGGGTTGCTCCCTTTCAGGTCATTGGCAGGATGTGCAAAATCATCGACAAGACCTGCCTGTCGCCAACGCCTACACTGGAGCAGCACCTGATGTGGGACGACATCGCCATTCTGGCCCGCTACATGCTGATGCTCTCCTTCAACAACTCGCTCGACGTGGCTGCCCATCTCCCCTACCTCTTCCACGTCGTGACTCTGTTGGTGGCCACTGGCCCTCTGTCCCTTCGTGCTTCCACCCACGGGCTGGTCATCAACATCATTCATTCCCTGTGCACCTGCTCGCAACTCCACTTCAGCGGTGAGTCCCCCACGAGACAGTTTCATTGGCCGAGTCGATCACGCCTCTTGCTTGTGCCTTGTTTCCCAGCAGGTGCACCTGGGCAGGTGTAATTGCTTAGCAGGATTTAGCTACACGGTCTGTGAGTCGCTCCGGGGACATTTTTGCTGACTGTCTGGACCGGTGATGCTGAGCCTGGGAGGCAGTCCCCTCCCTGTCTCCCACTCCGTGTGCAAGTGCCTTTACTTCATCTTCCTGTGTTCCTCACAGGGACTGCCCAAGGCCTCATCCTGGCAACTGTTACACTGGATTCGAGCTTAGTTGCCCTGGCCAGTGTAGGGATGGGGGACCAGCTGGGAACTTCATTTCCAGCATCTTGAGAGGATGTAAATGGCCTGCATAAGATACTGAACTTATAGGAGCCGAATTAAATCAGTCTTGTCCGACCTGAGGTCCTCTGCTAGATGTTTTGGGCTGTGATTCCCATCAGGCCCAGCCAACATGACCAGGGCTGGGGAAGATGGGCAGTATCATCCAAAACAACTGCAGTGTATCAGTCGAACACACCACATGATGGGACCCAAGCGCGACTCATGCAGTCCCGATGCAGCCCTTATTTTCTGCTGATGCTTTGCAGAAACCTACCTGCATGCACAGCACTAGAACACAATGCATTTGGATGGTTCCCCCAAAAGGGAGGCCATACTGACAGCAGACGGAGGAGCTTTTTGAGGCCCTTCCCAACCACAAGCAGCCTGCTCAGGGTCAGGGTTTCAGGCTGTGCCACGAACATTGTTCACAGGACCAGAATCTCTCTTGCAGTGTATCCTGGACTGAGCACCCACGGTCTGCCATCCCCGCGTGACTCTCGGTGGCCTGCTGGCTTTAAAGCGGGGACACGTTGCCTGCCTTCATTGACTGGCAAAGTACAGAGGCCATTTTAAATCAAAATATTGCAAAGTTGCTTACAGGGCAGTAAAACCAAGAAGCTTAAGTCAGCCTCCCCAGTCTGGTGCCACCCAGATGTTTTGGATTAAGAATCCCAACTCCTGACCACTGGCCATGTTGGCTTGGGCAGATAGGAGTTGAAGTTTTGAACAATCCAAACTTTAAAACCTTGATTAGCAAGAACAGCGGAACTGGGAACCAAAAGCAGGAGCAGCTCTGAGCATCTGGCCTGGAGTTTCCAAAAGAAACTCCCAAGCAAAAGGGCCGAGTTAGCATAGATTAAAGATAGCCCTGCATAGTACAACACCTGTAAAAAGACATCCATAAATGCACCTGAAAAACCCCAAGTTGACTTGGTGCCGCCACATCAGCTGCTCAGCCAGAAAAGTCTCAGCACATGATCCTAATAATTGTGGGAAGAGAGAATTAAATAGCAAAGATCTGTTTTAATCCCCTGTTTGTGCTTAAAAACTGAATGCAGCTAAGGAAGCTGCACAGCCCCTTTTAATCGTAGCCTGGATGGCTGGTCAGAACTCTGTGTACCATGTTGCTTAAGGTAAGCCAAGCAGTTGGTGCCCTTGTTTTCAATACATTATATATAAAGGCAGCTCATGGGCTCCGTATTCCATGTTTGCCGACCATGCTCAGACACCCCGCATAGCTGACCCTCGCTTTTTCCTCTCATTTCGGCAGTGCGGCAGCACAGCTCTGCTATTTAGACTTGGGTGACACGTCTAAAGGGAACTGTGCTTTAATAGTGTGAGGTTTTAGTGCAGCCTTTAAAGACTCAGAACAAGCTCTAAATAACGGGAAGATCAATCCACTCCCGCTGAAGCCTCGACACAGTAAAAGGTGCAGCGCAGTTTACTGCTTGCCAGCACCATAAATTTGGGACACATGTAATGTTGTCATTGCATTTAAAAATACATTGTTGTGCAGCCATTTGCTTTTGTGGTTAAGAAGCAATGTTGTGCTGCGAAGATCTCTGTGTCAGGGTGAGGGGACGTGAGGCATCCAGCCGGCCCCTCGTCTCCCTTTGTGGGTCGCGTGGTCTCCAGGTGAGAAGCCTGCTGTGTTTGTTTGTCTTTCCTGGTGTGACCCAAAGCGTTGACTGACAAGCCTCCCTGCCCTCGGTCTAAGTCCGCTGCGGCCTTCTGATAAAGATGTAAATTCCCAGGAACAGGCACGGGCTCTGTGCCAAGAGCAGACACTCATTTGCATGTGCTCTGTGGTTTTTCAAGCATCCTGTCTCCCAAGGATAAACGGGGGAGCAGAGGGGAAAGCACTTGCTTGCATGGGGGAAACCTCTCGGGCGGAGAAATGCAGGAAGGCAGCAGGAGGTGAAGCAGAAATGGGGGGAAAGCTGGCGCAAGCAGAGCAGTAAGCTGGTCGGAGTGGGGCGTGGCATACCTGGGTTCAAGCCCCCGCCTGGCCCGGAGGCAGCTGGGGGGGGGTTGGACTCAGCCTGACCTACCCAACAGGGTTGTTGTGAAGATAAAATGGGGAGGAGGGTTTCTCGTAGGGAAAACGGTGGGATATCAATAAAAATAAACAAGAATAAGCCAGGGGAGCCTATGCATCAGGGAGCCCTGGCTATATTTTGACAGGGTCCCCTGAATCTTCCAGAGATTTTATTTATTATTTATTTATTTATTTATATTTATTAAAACATTTTTATGCCGCCCCATTCGCCGAAGCCTCGGGGCGGCTTACAACAAAAAATTAAAATATGGGGCTCCGGATGAAAGATTCTGTGCTCCTGCCCGAGTCAGCCACACACTAACACCCTTCTGCATAAGAAGCTATTTTGTCTCATACCTCCATCTTGCCCAGTAGAGTTTACTGCCTTGGCATTGCCTCTCTAGCATCTCAGCCTCAAATCTTTCCCACTCGTAAGCACAGACCTGCCGGATGGTTGCTACTATTGGCTGCACCCCACCTTTCAGGATATAAATCCTCCCATCATGGCTTTCAGGTAAGATGAGGATGCCGGAAGAAAGTTGGAAGGGACAGTATTTTCCAGACTGCTCTTTAGGGGGCACCATCCTGCAGGGCTGTGGGTGGGGTGAGAGAGCATGAAAGGAGGTAGCTGCAGAAACGGCCAAACCAGCCTGTTTGCTTCCCTCTGCTGGAATCAGGCCAAGGGCCCCCCGGCCCAGTCGTCCTGCCTCCACAGACGCCTCCGGGAAGCCCACAAACTACACAGCAGGGCTATCGCTTTCCTTCAGGCTGTTTCCTAGGCCTGGCCTGCCGAGACACACGGCTCCCAGTTCCAGTGGCCAGCATGACTAGTAGCCATTGATAGTCTTGTCCTCCATAAATTACCTCAACCCTTTTGAAGGCTGCCTCATATTAGTGGCCGTAACCACACCGTAGGTTAGCAAATTCCATGGAAAGTCACATGTTGCTTGAAGAAACGCTGCCTTTCTTTTGATGGCATCCCGCCCCACCCCGCCCCAGAGAACCTGGGTTATGGGCTATTTACTGTAATAGCATGGTGAATTGACGGTAGTAATACAGTAAATAAAGAAAGTCGGCAGGGTCTCTTCCAAGCATCCGCCATCCCATTTCACTGGGTAACCTCAGAGTCTAGTATTAGAATCGCCACACTCGGTGCCTAATTTCATCAGATTCTGCCTGCCTTTTCCTCGTGCTAAAAAGTGCCTCAAGCAGTGTGACTTTTCCTCACAGGGAAGTAACTCCACAGCCCTTTTCCCGACCTCTTCCAGCTCGACAATAGCCATTGATTTTCATGTTTATAAATTCACAGCATTTTAACAACTCCCACCCTTTATTGTCAAACTGCCCCAGAGCAGCCATAATGGGCTGTTTTAAACTCCGGTTGTGCACCCTCTCCTGCCATGCCTACGTAAAGAAGATAAAGTTCCCATATCAGCGGTCCGGTTTTCAAATCCTAGCATTTGTTGTTGTTGTTAGTCACGAAGTTGTGTCCGACCCATCGCGACCCCATGGACAACACTCCTCCAGGCCTTCCTGTCCTCCACCGTCCCCCGGAGTCCACCTAAGCTCATGTCGACTGCTTCAGTGACCCCATCCAGCCACCTCATCCTCTGCCGTCCCCTTCTTCTTTTGCTGTCTATTGTTCCCAGCATCAGGCTCTTCTCCAGGGAGTCCTTCCTTCTC